TCCAAGCATTTCAGACCAAAGCAGAAGAAGGCAAATTTTTGATTTCCTGATACAATTAGATAACAGAATGACCTGAGAGCTTATGAAGAACTAAGTAGAGGTTAAAAGATGAATTACACGGTTCTTGGTATAATGAGGTCAAACTCATAAAGTTCTTCCTTGTACTACACTTCTTTTTTGTGTTGTCGGTCATTTTTTTTCCTATCTTTTCTTTCTCCTGTCCTGTGTCCTGTCCTCTCCTTCCTTCTTTCTTTTCTTTCCTCCCCCTCTCCTTTCTTTCTCTTTTCTTTTTTCTTTCTCTTTTTTCTTTATAGGCTTAGGCCCACTTTTTTAAATCAGCTTAGGCCCACCTATCACGGACAGGTGGACAGGTGGGCCCAGTCCAGCACTGATTGCTATTGATTTTTGTCAACCTTAGAGAAGTTACTATATAACACTGAATAACCGGGAGGGGGGGGGGGTCTTGGAGTAGAGAATTGCGTATAAATTTTATGTAACTGAGCTGGGACTTTGTTTCACGGGGCGATTACTTGGTCTCATGGGGAGGGGAGGAGGGGGGGGGGCTCCCTCTAAACCCGCACCTGGCCCAAAATATACACATATTGCAAAACGGGACAGACAATGAATGGCATCGCTTAGATAAGCATATTCCCCATATCGTATCCAAAATTGACATTATTTCGTATATAGTACGAACTAATGTCGTGATTGTATCATGCCATCCAGAGGGGTTAATAATAACGAAATAAATTGGCCTATAACGTGGTAAACGGCAACCTGTTTTTACCGTTTGGTAAACATATGACCTCCATCATGGGAACATAAAGGCCAACACGGGGCTTTGTTATAGAGTTAGTTTGTAAGACCTCAACAATAACCCTAGCGAAACATAAGTCCACCAGGAACACGGAAGATTTAAATCCAGGAACAGTTGGGATACTCCACAAAAAGAAAACATACGCATCATATGCCATATGTGTGGAGGTAAAAAAATTACCGAACGGTAAAACCTGGTTGCCGTTTACCTCCTTATAGGCCGATTCATTTCGTTATTATTATCCCTTGCTACGAGGTAACGGGTGGAAAAAGATCATCTTTTGAGACATAGCATGGTTCTAACAACCCGCATATTTCCCTCAATTTTCATTCCTTTGAACTAAAAGTTTTATATGAGTTACATGACATATCGCAGGGGCGGATCTAGGAATTTTGAAAAGGGGGGGGGGCGCCGCAAAATGAGGGCACTGACCGCGGAGACGGGGCACGCATTATCCGTCATTTCCTTGCATCTGTAGCCATTCCAAGAGCTATTTGGCTGATATTTTCGTCTAAGTAAACGTTCGGAAATCGTTGAAAAAGAGCCTTAAAATCGAGCAAAAAAGCCAGTTGAACATGCGACTCGAAAATTGTCAAGGCGAGCGAGGCATTATGATGGGAAAAAAGACGAATCTATTCCCTAGCCACTTCACTATTTAAGCCTTGTAACTTGTACTGTGTACTGTCCACACATGAAACAATGCTACATCAAGTTGCACTCATGCGCGTCGGTGATGGGCATGAGTGTGTACGCCGCCGATTCCACAAGATGCTATCATTGATGTCTGTCTATATAGTCTCTCTAAAGGATTAGGGCAACGTCAGCTAAACAACAAGAATTCGTTTGAAAGTGGAAGCATTAATTAGACCAGACTGGTGTGTTTCAGTCGATGGTTTGAGTCTTTTGGGATCCCTGAAACGGGTTGGGAACGGACATATTTGGGTCTGAGAAAAGGCACTTTCAGCAGTAAAAAAGGGCACTGTCGAAAATGCCCTTTTGGATCCGCCTCTGTATCGATCTATCACACATTAAATTTTGATCTCGTCTGTTTATTTTATAAAAAGTTTAGCCAGGGCAAGTTTTAATTCTTTCATTTCGGCCAGTGTAAACAATTGTTCCTTATTGTCGGTATTACTTTAAATTTGTCAAAATTTCAATTATCGATATGTGTTTCATTTTTTTTATGAAATCACTCAAATTTTTGAATATAGTGTGTACAATATGCATATTCATAACATATCTTTCCTTCTCGGCCACATTTTGCAATACTTTGGACACCTCGCGTTTGTTTGTTCACGGTTCTTGTCTATGATTAGTAGCGTTTCGATGTTGACGCCCGGCCTCTACTTGTCTCAGCAACACACGGTTTAGTGTCAGATTTGCTCCGAGGTAGCAAGGTATAGTCTTATTGGAAATGAAGTAATCGATTGGACAAATTATAATATCATTGTCTAGGTCAAATCAATGACATTAGTATCCTTCATAGTTTAAGGCTACTTTTGGAGACTAATTTGGTAAATTTAGCGAGAAAATCAACGAATTAATTCACACATATCTAAAGTCCGCCTCGTAAGGCAGACAAGATTTAATTAATTTGTTACAAAATATGGTAATAAAGAAATTAGATGAAATCTGATAGCCTGTATAAGCGCAGCGGAAAATACTTTATCGGATTATGGAGCGGAATTCACGACATTTCAATGTACATGTATATCACTTCTTAGTTACATAAAGTAAATTGGATTACACATGTAAAAATTCTTAAATATTGTAGTTTGAATTTGCATTTTGTTCTAACTACATTATAATTTTTGGTTTATTGTCATACTTTGATATTAAAGCAGATTATAGTCAGAATAGTTTCGTAAACAAAATACTTCACAAATGTTACTTCGCAAAATAGGGGGGGGGGGGAGAGAAAAACCATAACAATGTTTACACTGTGTAATTGCAAACTCTTCATAATATTCATTAAACATTGATGACATGTAGGGTTAACCGTGCACTTCTTGAATACTTTCTAAAACATTCCCTCCATCTCCTAATTGAATAATAGATCACAATTTCATACGTTTTTCAATACAAAGAAGTATAACACAGACTTTTCTGGGTGTATGAAGGGTGGAATGGTGAGATTATCATGAGATCGATATGTAGTTCACACTGCCTTGTCCATACTCTATAGCCAATAAACCAATAAAATGTTTGAGATGTTTTAGAAACCAAATTTACAATGTATGCTGCCTCCTATGGGATTTAACATACGCTTTCGCACTCGTATAGCCGGGATTGGAGGGTTGGCAGAGAAAAAAACATGAGATTCGGTAGAGAACAGGCCTACACTCCTCTTGGTACATCCGTTGGTTTGATTACATGCTTGACACAGCCGACAGGTGACCCCGTTATAGTAAGCCACCAGCTAGCTGCATGTATTTAATTAGCTCATTGTATTTCAGGACACCACGTTGGTTTTTATGCACCCACACTGAAATGTGGTCGTATATTGCCTTCGCCCCCGTCCGTCCGTCCGTCGTTCCGGCGTCCACAATTGCTTGTGGACGCTCTAAAGGCTAAAGTTAATATCCGATTGACTTTACATTACATGTATAAATTTTATACACAGTGTTTAAGGTGATGAGACGAAGAATCCTATTGATTTTCAGCGATTTCCGATAATTACTTCCAGAGTCATGGCCCTTGATCACTTCAAAAAATTTTGTGGACGCTCTAGAGGCTAAAGTTAAAATACATTATGCAAGAGCTAAATCTGATTATTGCAAGTCTTTATTTAGGCTTCAGATGTCATAGAAATTATAAATTAGATCTTTATTTACACAACAAGCACAAAATCAACTCTGAAGACCCACGGATGGCTTGGATTCGGCTTGGATTTAAACAGGATTTCATTGATTGATTAAATTTTTAAATGGCGTCGTACGCGGAGTTTAACCGTTACATTGACGTCATACTCCCGGAAATTTTAGATCGAGGCTAAATGATAGAGTGTAAGAAGCGAGGCAGCCGTTGAGCGAGGCCGCATGTCAGTCAATTTGATTGAAAGTTCGATATATACGGCCTTGATATTATGTTTAGTTGTGGTTAAAATGAGAGTTTGGATGTCCTTACGGTACCACAGCCATTGAAAACGTTACTTGATAATCGAGATTATGTAGGTGGAGTTAACGCCTGTCAATCAAACGATCGGCCAATCTCGGAGACGGTGAAGAGAGAGTTGACTCCTATTTTTAGTCAAAAATTACAATGGTGATAACTTTTTTCAGAATAAAGTAATTTGACTGAAATTTTCAATATACTCTTCTTTCATCATCTATTTTTGAACTGTTATAGCAAGAAAGGCCAACTCTCTATTAAAATCTCCCATAATGTATCTTTAATATCCGATTTACTTTAAATTTATACACAGTGTTTAAGGTCATGAGACGAAGAATCCTATTCATTTTCAGTGATTTCCGATAATTACTACCAGAGTTATGGCCCTTGATCACTTCAAAAAATCTTGTGGACGCTCTAGAGGCTAAAGTTAATATCCGATTGGCTTTAAATGTATACACAGTGTTTAAGATCATGAGACCAAGAAGCCTATTTTAAGCGACTTCTGATAATTACTACCAGAGTTATGGCCCTTGATCACTTCAAAAAATCTTGTGGACACTCTAGAGGCCAAAAGTAAATATCTGATTGACTTTAAATTGATACACAGTGTTTAAGGTCATGAGACGAAGAATCCTATTGATTTACAGGGATTTCCGATAATTACTGCCAGAGTTATGACCCTTGATCACTTCAAAATATCTTGTGGATGCTCTAAATGCTAAAGTTATCCGATTGACTTCAGATTGATACACAGAGTTTAAGGTCTTGAGACAAACAAGTATATTGATTTCCAATGAATTTCAATAACTAAATCCATGATATTAAATGTTTCGTATACTAAACGTTAGCATGGGGCAGAACTTTATAAAACCAAACAAATTCCATAGATTTTCTGATAATTACTTCATGAGTGTATTATAAATGTTTTATTACCGAAAAAAGTAAAAATATGCGACAACTCTTGTTGACTGTCCGGACGATTTAGCTGCTGTGGGCGTATGTTTCGTTGCCTGGCAACCTATCTTTTTTTATTCGAGAACTTGATCTTTAACATCTTTTCTTTTGGCAGATTTTCGCGTCGCTGAGCTGAGGTTAGTCCTATTACAGCATCACCACCAGTACTAGTCAAGTGCCTAACCTACAATTTCCCGGAGGGATGAAGTCGCTCGACAGCCGCTGGGCTATTAAAACATTTTTAATGTCGAATCTTATTAAAAATCTTCGACTTCGACTCGACCGCAATTTTTGGTTTCATTAATGTATCATTTCAGAAAGTTTATACCCCGTTACAACAGAATAAAATCATTTACAGTTTTGCAAGGTCCCGCCTCCCTAAATGTAGCACGTAGATCAACCAGCATGCAGACAGGCGGTAAAAATATGAAAATTCCGAGAAAACCCCACCAAAAATAATGATTAAATTCCAGCTGTTATCACGGTTAAAATCACATCAAATATACACCTTCGTGTTCCAGGATACACATAGATTCATAAAAACGCTATAATACAACATTTCAGCGTCTAAAAGTAGCAAAAAAGACGGTAAAAAGACGACGTTGTTATACGGACCTTATCCGTATGAAAGCTGTTCGATACGTGCTGCCGTATCCGTATGCCGTATCACGTATAAGAAATACAAACACATTAATGACGTTACACACAAAATCCACACGGATACGCGATACGGACCAGGAAATTACGCTTGCCAAAAGTCTCTATGGTCATTATAAGGCGTCCCTACGGCATAAGGCACCCGACAGGTCACACGGTTTTGGGCACCCCCTCAATCAAGTTGTGGTGTTAATCGTGTGATCCATAATGAGACGTCTCACCATTTGGGGGCTGCCTCATATATAACGACTTGATTGGCGAGGCGCCCATAAAACCAAGTAGCCTAACATTGTACGGATACGGGCACGCCAGTCGTTGGCATCGTATTGCCTCCAATGTAAACCCCCCGCCCCCCCCCCCCCACACTACGGGACTGGGACTCGAAAAATACAAGGAGGACTCCGTGTGAAGTGAATGGTATCTGTCTCTTAGTTTGCTTTGAAAAAGTCATACTCGCACATCTTCTGTGGAGAGAACATCGTCTCGTCAGTTATTCTTCACTTGTATAGCCAATTCATTGACAATCAGTTTAAAGATTATTTACAAAAAAATCTTCTCCATCTTCCTCACCAGATATACTAAGCGATAACATGCTGTTTCGGAGGGAAGAGGGGTGGTGGTGGGGGGAGGGGTGAAGATAATATTATGATTTATTCTCAGCATATGGTATTAACAAGCTATAGGCTAATGCCATCATTAGTGTAAGGTAAAATGCTTTCATGGGCCTCTTTTTAATCCGACTGAATCCAATCTGGGGGTTTGCCTAAATATTTCATTTTAATACATTTTAAAAATGGATAAAGTGAAATTTTAGATATTGTTTAGAAAATGGCACTGACTGTAAATGGACACCATGTAATAAATATCCTCGACATTAGCATAAATAAACACATACTGAATCGTGCCAAACTATAATTCAAAGTGACAGATTAACCTTCTAGATGGAGAAAGAAATTGTCTTAAATATAAGAGGAATTCCATTAATTCGTGTATATGCAAACATTCAAACAAATCCGTAGATATATTCAAAACTATTTCTAAGAGAAGATCACGGTAAACACAAGCATGTCATTTTGTACAAAGCATAATCAAAATTTTTCGATGGGTGTATAAGGCGATAAATATTTATGGAAATAGGTCTCCGTTTATAATGAATGGCAAGGGTCTGACTTAGTTAGATATGACTTCAGAGGTCAATAATTCAGGCCCGGTGGAGTGGGGGGGGGGGGGTAGGGGGCTATAAAGGGGGGGGGGGTCATAATTTGGCCGCAAGTACCCTTTTCTACAGGTTATTGCACGCAAGTAACTATTCAGTTAGATACAGTGACGTAACTGGAAGAGACCTGATTTTAACATAGAAGTGAGACTTCTAGAAGTAAAAGTAAACTTTCAGAAGAAAAAACCCAGATATGCTTTATACTGATCCCTGGGTTAAGAACCCCCAGTTGTGAGGGTCGCGACTAGTTAACTTTACTGCAGAGCAGTCGAATATTTCATTCCATCTCATTTCCGTTGTGTCTATGACAGATCAGCTAATTAAATGAAATGAAATGAAATGGGGTTTAACGTCCTACTGTTCTGCTCCTAATCTGGGCTATGAAGACGGGCATACGCCATACAGTGTGCTATGAGGGAAATTTTGCCCGGGCAGCGGCGCTACGGCCTACTCTTATATCGAATTCCAACTTCCAAGGGATCTTTTACGTGCACGCCAATGTGTACACGGGACCTCGGTTTTCCGTCCCATCTCTGACAAAGGAAAAACCACGCCGGAAAATCGGAATGACCTTTCTCGGCCAATGCAGGGATCGAACACCCGACCACCGGGCTAGCGAGCCAACGTCTTACCAACTTAGCCACGTGATCCCCCTGGCTAATTAAAACACGGCGGGATATAATGTTTCCAACATTCTATTATTGCAGTGGTTAAAGCTCGACTACAATGAATGGGCTCATGCGTACCAAAGTGATCCTCAACACATAGTTTAATTTTTATCTCATGAATCGAACAAAAATTGTCGACTCTGGGAGGCCCACAAACTTCATTCATATTTCACGTTTTGCGTAAATGACATTTGGCATTAACTCTAGAACGCGCAAGGTCCGATGCGAACCAAACTTGAACTCACCCAACACTCGTCTTAAGTTTCATAGAAATCGGATAAAAATTGTTACAACCTTAGTATTACATACTTTTACCCTATTTGCGTAAAGGGGAGCGGCCATTTGACGGGAAGTTTCGGTCCGATTTTCCGGAAATTCGGACTCAACCTGCATATAATTATAATGTAACGGTGATATATTTGAACGATTTTGAAAACAAAAATTGCTACCTCTAGAGGATCCACAAGTTAAAAACGTGATTTTTCGTACAATCATAATCCAGATAAGCGCAAATCGGAAATAAATTCTGACCTCCCAGCCGTACCATAAGATAGAGCACGGTCGGGATAGTTCAAGGATGGCTGAAAAGGCTGATACAGATTTGTATGAAAAAATATAAAATTGCCGATAGGCTATTGCCAATGCGTATGGACCGTATTTCTTCAGGGTCCATGGTAACATCTAGAAGTTAGAGAATAATAATAATAATAATAATATCTTTATTTCGAAAGGGTGAACAAACTAGGTCCGATATGTATGGACGTTTCTGACACGTTGTGCCCTATATAACAAAAACAATAAAAATAACAAATATAACAACGGTTATCAATTGAAATATTGAAATGAACATTAAACATAATGGCTTACATATCGATCTTGCACCAATTATGTACCGTGTGGTACATGTATTACCGGTAGTATTAGTAAGATGATGATTTAGGTTTGAAACATATACTATTCAAAAAAAGTAGGGGATATTTGATTTTGGGGGCATAATACTAAAATATGCAAATGACTACGAAAAAAGTCACTATAGAACCTAACAGAAGAAACATTTCCAGTTACATGTGACGCCCAAACGCACCAATAGCTACCGCATGGAATGCAGGTGATGCTTGGGATCATCATGGGGGTCCAACCCAAGATTTGCACGACTCTGACTTTGAATGTTACAGTCATTGTGGCATTGAATTCCAGGGTGGAAACATCAGTTTAATTGTTTTAGTGACCAGAAAACAAATTTTGATATGCGTCGGCTTACCCAAAATGAAAGGTTACGTGCCCTTGGCATGCTACAGATCGGCACAACACAGGCGGTTGTGGCGCGGACGATGAATGTTTCTCAGTCTGTCATAAGCAGGCTATGGTCCAGATACCGTGATACACAATCTGTACAGGACAGACCACGCTCAGGTCGACCAAGGGCGACAACTCAAGCCCAGGATCGATTTATCCGTACCTTGGCCTTGAGAAATCGTGTCATCACAGCAAATCAGATCAGCGCTCGTCTTCAAACAGACACTGGTGTGAGAGTGAGTGGCCAGACGATTCGGAATCGACTGCATAGGGGTCACCTTCGCGCCCGACGTCCTCGCGTGATCCCTTGTTTGAGAGATCATCACATTCAGGCAAGACGTCGTTGGTGTAGGGATCGTCAACACACGGATAATCGACGCTGGAGCAATGTGATGTTTTCAGATGAGTCAAGGTTCACTGTTGATTTTTTGGACAGACGTAGGAGGGTGTGGCGTCGTCGAAACGAGCGCTTCCAAGACGTTAACGTCATCAGACATGATCGATTTGGGGGTGGTTCTGTTATGGTGTGGGGAGGCATCACTGTTGCTGGAAGAACGGCTTTACATGTTGTTGCAGGGCGTGTTACAGGCCAGTACTACCGGGACAACATCTTGGCAGTCCATGTTGTGCCGTTCGCACGACGTCATGGCCGCCGTTTCATCTTCCAGGATGACAACGCAAGATGTCACAGGGCCAGGATCGTTACAGGTTACCTCCAACAACAGAACATCACCACATTACCTTGGCCAGCACTGAGTCCCGACCTCTCCCCCATCGAGCATGTCTGGGACATGCTTGGACAGAGGTTACGTCAACGTCAACAACGTCCTGCCAATGTCCAAGAACTTGCTGCTGCGTTGCAACAGGAATGGGACAATCTGGACCAAAATGACCTTAGACGTCTCATTAGGAGTATGCCACGTCGGATCAATGCTTGTTTGGCAAACAGAGGAGGATTTACCCGTTACTGACTTGGTTGTGATGCTGTGGTAACTTTGCTGTTTGACCCCGGGTATCATTTTACCCTTATAATGGTCAGTCTGTGCCTTACTTAGTCTAACGATCATTTGGAATAAATCGATGAATGTGAACTTCATTTCATTTTGTCATTTGTTTCTTCGTCAGTTTCATTAGGTGACTTTAATAACACTTAAAAATCAAATATCCCCTACTTTTTTTTAATAGTATATTATTAGTAATAAGTCTTCGAAAAGAATAAACATTTCTGAAATTTGTTTTTATGGTTTCAGGTAAATCATTCCACGATTTTGCACCTTTATAACGCAAACTATTCTTAATAATATCTAAATTCGGTCTGAAGACGGTCAGTCGAGAATTAATACTGTTATAAGGAGTCTTATAATTCAATAATAGATTAGATAAATAAGTTGGACAAACATTGTTAAGTATTTTATATATGAAAATAAGTTTGTTTAACTTATGTCTTGACTCTATATTCAGCAGCTGGCATTTCCTTAGAAAAGGGGGCAAGTCAGTAGAATGTTCTTGATCAAAAATGAGTTTGAAGGCACGATTTTGTTGACGCTGAAGGAGTAAATATGCAGTTTTGCTACAGTTATCCCAAATTGGAGAGCAGTAATCTATATATGGCAAGAAATGTGACTTATAATATAGTAGCTGGAAGGATTTAGATAGATATGTTTTAATCCTTCGCAATTGAAATAGTTTCTGGTTTAAGGTTTTACTGATCATCTTAAAATGGTCATTCCAATTCAAATTTTGATCAGTATATACACCAAAGAGTTTAAAAGAGTTAACTACTTCAATTTTTTTACCTTCAATTTGAATATCAAGGGATTCTTTAATAAACTTTCTTTTCTGAGGCGTTGTTACAAGCATAGCTTTAGTTTTCATTATATTTATTATCATGGAATTATTAACACACCAATTTAGAACACTATTAGTATCTAACTGTAATTTAGTTCGAAGTTGGGATAACGTTGCAGCCGAAGTATAAACTGTAGTATCGTCTGCTAATAGATCACAGTTAGAAGACAAATTTAAAGGCAGATCATTAATGAAGATATTAAAAAGTAAGGGACCAAGGACAGATCCTTGTGGCACCCCATGTACGACTGGCTGAAATGAACAGGTGCATCCATTAACAGATGAACACTGATTTCTGTCAAAAAGATATGATTTAAAGGGGCTAAATCGCTAACATTTGGGACCTAGAAATTGACAAAAGTGAGTCGTAACGCATATAATAATGTAGTATGAATGTATATAAACTGATTTACATTCAATGGTATCCGTTTTTACTCCAATTTCAAATCAGTTATGTTCGGCGAAATAAGCCAGGAGTCTCAAGCGAGTGCAAATTTCTAGCGTCTGGTTATTCCTGTCTACATACGCCGTTTGATTTGGTGCAATGTGTCTAGCCTCGTCCCTCGAGTCTCTTGATACAACTGGGGCTGAAGCGCATTATGGTACACGATTCGTGTACCAATGGTAAAATGTTTATTTTGTCTTAAATATTGGATATCAAAAGCCCATCTTTTTCCGGTAAGATCACAACATGAATGTTGATTTAATTTGACAAAAAAATCGTGTTTTCAATGTTGAAGATTTTGGATGAATTGAGTTAGAGACTTAGCTACTTTAAGAAATGATGGGGAATATTTCGATAATTTGTATAAAGCACATTTTTGTAATAATAATTTATGATTCACTAAGTCAAAGGCTTTTCTGAAGTCAAAAAAGATTAATCCACTTAACAAATTGGAATTCAAATTATCATAAATATTTTCTGTTATATGTGTCAAGGCAGTTAAACAAGAACTAGTTTGTCTGAAACCTGATTGCTTAGCATACAATAATCTATGTTTGTTTAAAAATTCCATTAGACATTTAGACACGTTTTTCAAGTGGTTTTGATAATACAGATAAAATAGATATTTGACGAAAATTATTCGGATCCGTTTTACAACCAGACTTATGTAAAGGCAGAACCTTAGCTGACTTAAATAAATTTGGAAATACACATTTAGTTATGCATAAATTATAGATAAGAATGAGGGTTAGGGTATGGTTTATTAACAACTTTGATTTTTATTCGAGTTTTCTTGATGAATTTGACAGATTAAGATCTTCTTATTCGAATATATAGAGGATATTTGTCATTTTAGAGTGAATAACATATTTTATTTCATCGAGAAGCAAGAAAACTTATATTTTCACGAATGCGTAGCATGAGTGAAAATATAAACGTTTTCTTGCTTAGAGATGAAATAAAATATGTTATTCACGACAAAACGACAAATGTTCTATTTATTTTATGATTTTACAATCATTTTAGGTAAAAACAACATGGACTACTTTAGCCAGTGGAATAACACTTTTATTTCACTGATAAAACGCGGTATTCTACTACTGATCATAAAATAAATATAGATCCACAACAAAAAGGCTCTGGCTAAACTCTAAGTTACAAAGCCCTGTTCGGGTAGATAACTCTAATGCGAACTCTTTTGTGAAGGAAATAGAACAAGTACCGAGTACCATCTTGGCAACTGTAAACAACAACAATAATTTCTGAATTAAAGTAGACTTTACTTTTACGTTTAAGTAGATAACATAATTTTAAATAATGCTGTGTGATGATAATAGAATATAATGGAGAAAAATACGACTTTAAATAAAGTGTTAGAGGGACATTCACCAGGTTCGTAACATATAGGCGATATTAATATGTAACACTAACAGGCAATGCCTGAGTAGAGCGAAGCTAATTATTGTCAAATATAAAACCTTCATAATTAATTTTCTCAAGTGATACAAACAATGTTAAATAATTTAGTTTTTCAAAATTGATTTTTATTTAGATCTAAATTTTATACATTAATTTTGTTTTTAAAAAAAAGTGTGAGAATTAATTTCATTGACGTAAAAAATAGAAATAGTTCTATGAGGCGCGTAATCTTGCTTGGACGAGATTTGGTGTGTAGAATTATTTTTGTTAGTTACGTGATCTCGATTGGTCGAGATTTGGTAAGTTGACATGCGCATTGCCTTTTTTCCCCAGTGTATCCGGTTCCGGTCTGAATTTTTTTTTAATCAACAGTCTGTTGGTGACATTTTCAATTACGCTCCTGTTACCGGAAAAGAGCTTTGCTCTATATTAATTTACTTTTAGTTTTACTCTGCCCTGGGCCTGCTAACTCTGAATGCTGGTAAGATAAGATAGCATGTTTATTGCATCAAACGTCAATTAAGGACAACATGCATACATATATATGCACTTAGACAAAGTCATACACATTTAATAATATATATGAAGTATGCATGGCCTACAAATAAGCTCAGCATTCATTTTTGTGTCTCAATATTTCAATGTTGTTGAAGATTTTGTCTTACTTGTTGGTTTTAATCTTAGACCCCTACCGCTGAATTTATAGTTTTAATCTTAAATACCTGACCCTAACCCTAAAATGTAAAAGTGATGGAATGTAAAAGTGATGGAAATAGAAAAGGGAGTTGGATCAAACATGATCGCCACAAGCTCTACTACTACTAAGCTATTTTGTGGACCTGGACAGAAAATTACAAACTAGAACCAATCAGATATCTTCAAAACAAAGTCACAAATCGACAGAAATGCTTTCGGTTTTAGAATAGTTTACCATTTAAACTTCCCATTTGTTTCCTGTCATTATATAGCAATGCAAAAGCTTTTTAATATTTTTGAATCTGACTAAAACTGAATATTTACTAGCATTCTAGCCCCCTTCCTATTTAAGAAACAAAACAAAAAATTAAAAATCGGTTAAGAAATAAAAAAGTTGTTGCACTTTTAAGACCCCAAATTGATGGATGTCAGTAAACACTTTTTTTTAAAATATGCCAAAAAAGTGACCGAAGACCATCTCCCAGCAACTAATGAAGATATTGGCATCAAATTTTCAGGAAATATCCTTCCGACCATTAACTATCTATTGGAATTTTTAAATTTGGGCTATACAATTTATTTGTTTTGATATGGGGTCTGCAACATGGATAAAAAACCCAAATTTGGTTAATTTGCGTTTAAGACTTTTTTAAAGATAGAATTCACATATGATGGACCTCAAATTTTAGGTAGAATTAATCCAACTTCCTAGACTGCTCCTCGATTTGTAGGTATCTAGGGATCTTTATTGTTCGCCGCTAATCCGTACATATGACCTTAATTGTTTTTCATTCAACTTATCATTGTCGGGTTCTCTGATCCGCAAAACAAAGTGAATTCTGGGGATGGAGCACTGGACATCCCATACTCATCCAGCCCATTCTCTTTTCTGGCAACAGGGAGCCACAGTAGCTCAGTGGGTAGGACATTGGCTCACTCAACTTGATGTGCCGTGTTCAATTCCTGCATTAGCCGAGCAAGTTCATTGTGTTATACACACCAGCCTCCCCCCAGATGTACGACGGTTGACCTAACAAGTGACAACATAGTCATTCGGATAGAATAAAAAAAAACTGATGTCCCATGTACGCATAAAAGAAACCTCGACAGTTTGAATTCGAAATAAGAGTAGGCTGTTGCGCCGCTGTTTTGGCAAAGTTTCCCCTCATAGCACACTACAATGGCATGTTCCCCCCTACCCACGCCCCTGCCCTCTTCATTAGCCCAGTAGGAGTAGAACATTAAACCCCATTTCATTTTCTTGTATCAGAATCAGATTCCATATGGCTGTCATTTGATCACCAACAAAAGAGACAGTAATCCAAGAGATAATTTTTTAAAAAAAATTAATTTTAGGGAAGTGTTAATAGAATCAATAAAATATTGTAACAATACAAGAGAAAGAATTCAAACCGTGCACCAGACTTTATACCCCCAAAAAGTGCACTTGAAAATTGTGCCTCAGAATCAGCCCACTGTTAGCAAAAAGGAAACTTGGTTTGACACGTTCACAATAACAAGAAAGCTGCTGTGGTCTGCACCTACATCGGTGGAGTTATCTTTTCATTTCTTCCACATGATTTGTTTTCCCGAGCTCTGGCACTAGTTCCAACGTTTGGTGAATGAAATACAGGTCAATATAACTAGAAAAGGGGTCATTTTATGAGAAAATACGTTTACTTCCAGTGATGAGCGTCGTTTTTGCCTTTTTCTGATAATTTTATTTTTTCAAAATATAAAAAATCAGTCGTAAATACGTTTCTGAATGAACAAACCACGCTCGACACAAACTCTGTTTTCTCCTCTTCACGAAAAGTAAAAAGTCATCCGTGTTGGTGGTCATACAGCTTCCCGAAGTCACGGAACAAAAACGGCAGATTTTACGGTCAGATTTTTTGACAGTGATAAAAAATAGTATCAGTGGCGCCCCTAGCGAGCTTTTGCATTGCTACATTATAGGCTATGATGGTGGTCATACAGCTTCCCGAAGTCACGGAACAAAAACGGCAGATTTTACGGTCAGATTTTTTGACAGTGATAAAAAATAGTATCAGTGGCGCCCCTAGCGAGCTTTTGCATTGCTACATTATAGGCTATGAAAGCATTCAGAAAATTCCCCACCCCATCCATTCTGTTCCAAACCATATTTCTCAATGTATCAGCTTACCTTCTTATATACATCAAATATGCTAAAGTAATAAAATATAGGCTATCTCTGAATTCTAAATGTGATAATTAGTACCATTATCATTCATCAATGCACCAGCTGATTATGCGATTGTCGTAGTACTTGTTATGCCATCCAATGCATTTGCAAAATTTAGCTTTTGATTATTATTCAGTAGGGTATTCTGCATTTGAAAACAAAAGTCCCCAAATTTTCGACACGTAGAAAAGGTCTAATTACCATAAATTAAAGATGGCCGCCAGTGTAAACTTTACATACAAATAACGGCTAAACCGTTCACTTTAAGCCTTAAAAATGTATTTTGGACATATAGAATCATACACTCATTAGAATCCGAATATGACGTCATATTATTTCTCTGATGTATAATGAATGCTAAAAAAATATAAAAAAGATCAGAAGACAAAATCTTACAAAATCAATTGTGACTAGTCATCTATCGGTGAAATCTTTCAAATGTGGATACAAGTATCAATTGAACTTTACATCCAAAAAAACGCTAAACTGTTCACTTTAGGTCATAAAAATGTATTATGGACAAATAGAAACATCTAACCATAGAATTCGAATATGACATCAAATCATGTCTGTGACATCATTATTGTACTACCGGTATATATGCATCAATGCATCAACAGGAAAGAAAAATGAAATGATTTCCTGTTAAATCTGGCCTTTGTACACCTAAAAGTAAAAGTATGTTTGGATTGCAAAATGACAGATGACTTGTTATTCTGAATTTTGTGCACCAAACTTGAAAACAATCTGTTGAAAACTAGTCACACAAGGTTTACGGAAGAGGAGGATGCTTTTAACTTTAAATCAATATTACCAAGTAATACTGCTTCTGTAACAGTTCATTTGCACCAAAGGCTGTCTATAAGCAGCTGCTCCGGTGATACAGCACTGTGCAGGTCCATTCGAGACCTTTCCAGTGTGGTTTTCCCTTATCAGTCATAGACTTGCATCTTGTAGAGCATTTCCGACAGTCTATTTACAAAATTTTATTGGAGAGGTCCCCAATATCACCCACATGGACTTGCTACTTTGGCGCTCACAAGGGGAATTCGTTGAGGTTCGGAAGTCCGTTCGTTTGACATTTTGTTCTCTAGTCTTATAAACTAGTGATCAGGCGACGAACGGTATCTTGTCAGATCTATTTTTCTCAACGGTCGGTACCTGACTGAATACTGTGGATAGCATTTCCGGCAGTCTATTTTTCAAAATTTTCTTAGGGAGGTCCCCTATAACCTCCGTAATGACTCCCTACTTTAAGGCTCCTGAGTGGGCTTCATCGAGGTTCACAAATCCATTCGTTTGACACTTTACCTCAACGATCAGTGCCTGGAATACTGTCAGACTGCATTTCCGGCAACTTGTTTTTCTAAATTTTCTGGGGGAGGCCCACTACACCTAGTTGTCCCTCCAACAACCGACGGCTGGCACCACCACTGCTGACAAGGACAGCTGTCTAGTCGTTAGGATGGGACAAAAAAACGAGGTCCCATGTACACATTGGCATGCACGTAAAAGATCCCTTGGCAGTTGGAATTCGATATAAGAGTAGGCCATAGCGTCGCTGCCCGGGCAAAATTTTCCTCATAGCACACTGTATGACGTATGCCCATCTTCATTAGCAGAACAGTAGGACGTTAAACCCCATTTCATTTCATTTCCATTCGAGACCCTTTTTGTCCTCCAGTCCCCGACAACTATATAAAGGGAACATCCGCACGATTTCATTTAAGCCTGATGAGTTCAAAATGAACGAAACTTGTTGCTTCATGAGAGAAATCTAAGACAGCTACTTGTCACTCATAGATTTCTAATTTTATTTACGCTCACTGCGGAGAAACCTTACCAGCTCAGAATTTCATAACTCCGGTCACCTGAAACGAGAAACCGAACCCAGAGTCAAACATTACCTAGGGAGAAGTTGACCCTTTACCAAAACGACTCAGATAGATTTTACGTCTGGAACATTAATGGAGTATAATCTGCCTTCAGCCATTTTACCGGAGTGCAAATAGCAAATTTAGTCGATCCTGATTCCATGTAGATCACCATAATCGAGTAGACTGAAAAAATATTCTGGTCCTTAAATACGCCTTATAAAAATATGTATGCTCATATCCAAGTGAAAACTATTTTTTACCTCACCGAAACGAAATTCAGTCGTTTATATAATGGATTATGATCCCACCATTGTTCAATTTAGTAAGCCCTCCCAAGAGAAATGGCATCTATTATCGTATTCGTAAATAGACCATGCCGTGCACCCTCCATAAAAGCCAATCAAATCATTTAGAAGGCTGATATGCAAGTAGAAATGTTATGATACAAATAATTGGGCTTATGATACAAATGACTGATCCCAACTGAGACAGAAATGATATGTCACATTGGATAATTTTTTAACCATATTAAATCGAAAAGGATTCACACTTGAACTTTTGCAAAGACGGGTATACGATTTCATAAGATTTAGTCCCAAAGGGTCCCCTCATTCTTTATATATATATTTTGTTGCTAAATATAGGCAAATTAAGTTTATTATCATCTAGAAAGATCACAGATTATAGTACAATTTTGAAGAAAAAAAAGTTGTAATAAATAGTTAAAAATCCCATTAATGTAAGATTCTTAAATATTCACCTTATGGAGGCTAAAAAATGTTTGCACATTATCAAAAAAATCTCACTTAAGAATAAAAAACCAAAAGATGCAAGGGGAAAACCTCGAGATGTAATAGTATTAGTTTCTAGATCATCTGATACCACTTCCAACAACATAGCAATTTTTTTTTTAATGAATTGTTGTTACAAATAAAGTATGCCAGGGGATACTTAAGCTTTAGATTCTACAACAGGGTTCACATTTTTTATTAATGTAATTGTATCATTAGTATAGAATGCATTTACAAGCAAATAGTTGTTTTTATATTTTGTTATTTTAGTAAATAAATATGATCTTATGGCCGTAGAGTGGAGTGGGACCAGATTAACAGAAGAACGAATGATTCTAGCTTTCCAGGCATTTGATGAATTGATTCCACAGCTTGGAATATATTCCAGAATTTTATCTAAACTCAGAAATGACTTCTTGGGTATGATTTTTATATCATTATAAAATGATGTCTCCAAAGGCTGATATTATTATGAAATAATTTCTTCATAGACATTACAAGATAATTATTTCTATTTCTTCAAAATCATACTCATTTATAAACAGTTAGGTTTTGACAAGAAAATTGATCATAAAAAGCTAATGATTTATTTCTGCAAAAACAAAAATGCATTATGTGAAACTGTGTTTATTGAATCATTTCCTTAGAGGCAATATACAGTGATGATTTGACTGGAGAATCATTCAGAGAAAATGGCGAATTAAAAGAATTCATACAGCGTCTTCCATATTTTTCTTTGTTTCAAAAAAGAGAAACAAAGCAAGATGAAGTTCTAAAAGAAGTGAAAGAACAACTTGAGACTGTCAAAGAAAGGTAGTTAAGTTTGTTCATATAACTTCCTTTTTAATATTTTTATGCCTTTGAATATAATGTGGATATATATTATTATATTATTCTTACCCCCATCCTTTGTCTAGTATCCATTGGTCCATCAGTCAGGATCCATCCATTATTGCTTGGGGAGACTTTACCACTCCCAAGTTATTGATTGAATTTAATTAAATTTGCAGGGAATTTTCATTTGGTTATAATTTTTATCTCTAATTACAGAGTTATCTCATGTATAAGTTCAAACTTGGTAGAATTTTATTCATAAGAAGGGGAATAAGGAAGAACCCCACTGAATTTCAAAATTTTCGTATCATACGTGTAGATTTTCCACACATTTTGCAGTCTTTATTTTTCAGGGTACATTTTAAGCTTGTGGAATTTTTATACACCCACATTTGTCCGGACGTCCATTCCCATTCCCATTTGTTTGTGGAACCCTCTTAGCTCACAATTTTTATCCGATTTTGATAAAACTTAAAATATAGGTTTATATTGGACACTAACTTCATGGATTATGGCCCCTGATTGAACGAAAAATCACGTTTTTTGCCTGTGGACACAGGTTACAATTTTAGTCTGATTCTGATGAAACCTAAAATGTAGATATATAACACAAAGATCTCGGTTCCTATAGATACTGGCGCATATTGGCTGTTACTTCATGGATTATGGCCCCTGATTGCTGATTATACGAAAAATCACTTTTTAAAATTGTTCTCTGTCTCTTGCAAAATGTGGCAACCGCTTGTTACATATTTGGTTGAGAATGTTTGTTTGGGCATTCTAGAGGTAACATATCATCCATTGTCAAGGAAGAGTCCCATTGAATTTCAAAATTTTCAGATCAATGATGTTGCACACATTTTACAGACTTATTTTAATTTTCAGGCGACCGATCTGATTAAAACACAGATCCTATTTCGTTTCGTTTTTCAAAGAAACATGAAATTGTTGATTTCATTAGATCTATTGATGCATTTTAGATGCTCTTAAATTCATTCAGTTTGCAATTTAATTAGTGGAGAAAAATATATTTTTTTTAGAAAAGGAGCTTTCTTTAGTTGCACGTAGGTGTGACACAATTATGTTGTGCGTGAACCCTGCCAAAAAGAAAAAAAAATGACTCGCACTAAAACTAATAAGTCATTTTTTAAGGTTCCCTGTGTGGGTAGCTTAATACTAATTAACAGAACAGTTTTTATGGGGTACAATCACTAGTTTATGCTTGATAATGATAAGAGGATACTTGTCGAAACGTTGTGCTTTTAGAATAAACTAGTGATTGTACCCCATAAAAACTGTATTCTGTTAATGTGTTCCCCGATCGCTAAATGCCACTAAAAGATTAATACTAATTAGTATTCCCATCAGTGACATATTTCTTTTTGGTATAATTTTATTTTCCAGACAAATGACTTTTTCTAAAGCAATAAAGATGTCTGGACTTTGTAAATTATATCTCTATTGGCATTTATTAAAATTAAAAATAATTTAGTTTATTGGTGTACTTTATAACAAGTTTTATGACATAAATTTAGGTCAGTTTTGAGATAATGTGAGAAAAAAACCAAAAACATTTTTTTTTCATTGCTCACTTCATTTTTTAAGGCTTTTCAATAAACATACACAGTTGGAAGAAAGTCAAAAGAAATTAGAAGAATTACAAGAAGATGTTGAAAACCTGAAACAACAAGTTGAAACCTTAGATCAATCAATTACTGAAAAAAATCTTCAATTTGAAAGGTACAGTTTACCATTTACTCCACAATTTCATTTTGTACTTAAACATGCATTATGCAAGAGCTAAATCTGCCTATTGCAAGTCTTTCTGTAGGCCTGAAATGTTATCTAAATTATTAATTAGAGAATAATTAACCTATCCAGACCATAATCAACTCTCGATGTCATCGTTAGCCTGCAATATTAAAAATAGTGGATTCGAATACATTTTGTGATGAATAATTTAACGTAAAAATGGATAATCGAGACTTTGTTTATTATCGTACCAAAGTAAGTAATGACGTTCGAGGCTAGCCTAAAATTTCAGTTCCAAGTGAAGAATTTTAACTTAAATTTTCAGCATATTCTGTTTTCATTATCTATTTTTTATACGGCCACATTTTTATGTGAACTTTATTATTGTCGTCGCCCCTGTCCATCCATCTGTCCACAATTTGTTTGTGGACAATCTACAGGTCACAATTTTTATTCGATTTTGACGAAACTTAAAATTTAGGTCTGTCTCCCAAAGATCTCAGTTCCTTACGATATTGGCATATATCGGACCATAACTTCATGGATTATGGCCCCTGATTGAAAAAAATCAAATTTTTAGCTTGTGGACACACTCGAGGTCACAATTTTTATCTGATTTTGATGAAACTTGAAATGGATGTTTATAATTCAAAGATCTTGGTTCCTTTCGATATTTGGGCATATCGGATTGTAACTTCCTGAATTATGGCCTCTGATTTTATGGAAAATCGTGTTATTAGCTTGTAGTCCCTCTAGAGGTCACAATTATTATCCGATTTAACAAAAAGTTTGACTATTTCACTGTTACACTGTAATGATGCTTCAGTTCAAATTCTGTGAAAATCAGACCAAAACTGCCGGTCAAAATGGCCGACCCTCTAGAGGTCATAATTTTGATCTAATTTTGGTTAAACTTGAAAGACATATTGGATTTCAACTTCCTGAATTATGACCCCTGAGTGATTGTACGAAAAATCGCGTTTTTAGCTTTGTGGTCCCTCTAGAGGTTACAGTTATTATCCAATTTAAAAAAACGTTAGAATATATCACTGTTACACCGTGATATTGGTTGAGTTCTAATATCATGAAAATCGAACCAAAACTGCCAGACAAAATGGCCGTCCTTTTAACGCAAATTGTGTAATTTATATCTGATTTTCATGAAACTTAAAATATATCTTTATATGCCAACGATCTCAGTCCCTTTTGATATTTGCACATTTCAGACCATAACTTTCTGGATTATGGCCCTTGATTTTACGAAAAATCGCTTTTGTTTTTAGCTTGTTCTCTATCCATCCCTTGCAAAATGTGGGCGTATCTTGCCTGGCAGCTGCTGGTGATATTTTTGTGAGTAAAATGGTAAGTCTATATAATATAAGTAGGCCTACCCAGTAGGCCTATTAAGATTAATGAATAAATAATAAAAATATATAAACATATACCGGTAGCTAATACAGCACCAAATCATACTAATATTAATAATAAACCATTTGATTATTGAATAACTCTTAAGTAGAAAAATATTTAAAGACAATGAAAAAAGAAGAGGATAAATCAATACTCGGTTGTTTTGAAATAGATAGCATATGAAACCAGGGAATCAAATAGTTAGGTATCCAATGCAGTTTCTATCAAATGATCAAACTGCAACTCTACTAGAAATATAGGACAGCGAATTAAGTTAAATAAGTAGATGCTACTTGGATATTTACAAGGAAATGTAAGTGAAAAATATATAGAATTACATGAAAAAAAAAGGTTTTATGATTTGAAGATTGAAAACACTCAAATTTCGATTTCTTTTAACTGCTAGCAGAAAAAAAATGGCCAAATCTATATAAACAGACATAGATTCCAAGTTTAAAATTTGACTTATGAATTTTAGCAAAATATTTGCCGTCTCTTTTTATGTTAAACAGTCTACAGAATGAAAAAGATAGAGAAGAGGTGAAAGCTAAAGATAAACAGCATCAACTAGAATGTGATGTTACAGAACTACAGGTAGAAATTACTACGTAGACAAATTGCACACTCCTAATGGTAGTCCAACTTAGACCATACAAAAAAATTATTCTAGTTGTCAGAGAATTCTTTCTGAAACTCTAATAATAGGGAGGTTTTTGTTTTCGTGTTTATGTTTTGTCAAAGGATCATTACTAAGCTAAATGACTTCTCATAAACAGCATTTTCCAAGACTGTACATTTATTTCATCATGTTGTTGATAGCATTTATAATGGTTGCATACTGGATGACCATGCCTGCAATACATTCCAGTCTCATTTGATTTTGTTAATAGTTATTTCTTAAAACCGAGTAGGGGGGAAATGTGAATGGATTGTGTGGATATTAATGAGACATGTCATCCGACCCTTTTTAAGTGACATGACCTCATTTTTTAGTCTTTAATTCGCTTAGATTTTACAGGGAATCTATTGATACATGAAACCTAAATATGTAATATATGGTCTGTTTACCTTGTTGAAAAGCTTCTGCTAATTAAGTTGACAGGATTATTGGGTTATAGGTAACTTAGATAAACTATCCCAGAGTTTAGTAAAATGTTACTAGGATTACTAATACTTTTTCAAATAAAATGGAAAGCTGCTTTGATTTAAGATTTTTTGACCACATTTAAAAAACTTTCTGTCAAAACAATGTAAGTGTTCTCCGTTAAGGATACAATGACTATATTTTACAATGACTATATTTTGTGGGTTTTTTTTAATGATTTTTTTCTGTTTTCAGATTTCACTTGATGATGCTAAATCTGAAATAAATTTTTTAACAACATTTAAGAAAGGATATGATAAATTACAAAATGGTAATGCCCAGCATTTTTATGTTTTATTAATAGTACAGATTGTAAAAAACACAATATTCATTAAACAACTTTTTCTTCTATTATTTCTTTTTTTTTCATGCAGTTAACATTTTCAGTTCATTGTATTATAGACAAAAGTTATTGCAAAATATAGATCTATTATTACATTGCGCTTTAATAAAAAGTATGTCTGTTAATGAAATTTGAACATCCTAATTTTAGATATATTATCTATTTAGTTTGGTTATCTCAATTCATGTACTATTTCTTTTTATTTTACTTCAAAACTCGATACTAAAATTTAACATTCAATATTCAATAAAGCAAAACATTTGCAAAAATTAGAGCAGTTCTTACTTACCTTGAATCATATTGGCGATGTGAAGAGGACTGAATTATTTAATGTTTCACAGGGTTTTGTTATAGCTATCGTTGCGAAGTACGTTTATCAGATTTAACTGTTTATTTTTTTGATTTTTTGAATATAAAAATTATTAATACTGGGTGAGATCAAATCTTATTTTTAACCATTTGTGAATCTTTTGTGTATGCTTTCAATCTGATTACCAACAGTCTGTCTGTTTCTGCCCTTTGATTAATAGATATTTATTTTTACTTGATGTATTTTTTTTAAGCATTCCTAGATCAAGATCACAGAAGCGATCTCTTCATAAAACAAATGTCAGTAGAATCAACAAGATATGTAAGTTTGACTTCCGTATGATGGTAATTAGATTAAAATGATAAACTTTACATTAAAGTGGAAATATCACTCTCACCAAGAAAATAAATTTTAATTAATTTTTAGTGATATCACCAAAATTACTTTAAATTTACCAAATTATTGAAAATTTAAGTGTGACTACCTAGATTAAGCTATTTTCCTAGTGGGTTAAACTCCTTGAAAATCACATAAAATTTGCACAAAATTGAAAGTTTAAAATATCTCGTGGAATATCCATGGGTTGGCTGATCTATCCCAAATTTTACATGTGATTCCTGATGTAACTGTATTGAAATAAAAACAAATTACCAACCAGCGGAAATGTTTTAAACACTTTGATACCCCTTTAAACTTTACGTTAAAAGGTTTTTTTTTGTTTTTATTATGGTTAACTTTGTATTAAAAAAAAATATGTATATTAGTTATATGATTATAACTCCCCAAATATTATATTTTAGAGTAATTTAGTCAGTGATATTGAAGCTGGTCAGAAATTGGAGAATCAGATGCTATCAGTTATGAATATTGCAATAGAAGGTAAAAAGTAAAACCAGGTTTATATTATATTTTTTTAATGTCTTATTAGATTAGAATTAATCAGCTGTACTAACATAGATAAGAAACATCCTTTACTCAGCATAAAAATATAATTAAATTTTCATTTCATATCCAAGAAACATTTTTAATTTCAAACACTCATAGTTTTTTTCAAAGATTTCTATTTCTGTCTTCAGAGTTTGAGAAGTTTTTAGAGGAACATAAAAGTGACTTAGAAAAGAAAACAATAGAACATGATATGACAGATGCAGAACTAGAGCTACAGGATATGGAAATAGATGATGCTGATCAAGAGGTGATATTTTTATGTCCACATTTTTCTGTCCACTTTTGTTGATCTGATTGTTTTGGGATGATTTGCTATATCAGAGGAAGATCTCTATTGATTTCAGCCCCCCCCCCTTTTTTTAAGAAATTTTGTCAAAACTCTATCATTGACCACTATTGATATCCTATTGTTTTAAAATTTGAACAAGTTACTTTGCTGTTTAAAAAGAAGACTCCTATTGTTTTTGAACATTAACATTCCTGGTTATAAAATTTTGATGCTAAAACCTGTTTATGTGCTAGAGACTATTATCAACATATCTTTTTAGAATTTTATGATTGGCCTGTTGATTATTCCACTTTGCAACGAAATCATGGTCACAATTATTATATCATGTGGTCTTTCTGTAAAATTGATTCATTTGTCCTTTTGTGTATCTGCCTGCCTTGGTGTAGATGTTTATTAGCTGAATATTTTGACTTTGATGCTGAACATTTTCTGCTTAGGCTAAGCAAAGATAAGCAGTTTGATTGGTTGAAATAACTTTGTTTATAATTGGCCTAGAATGTTCAAACTTTGTAAATGTTTGTGAAGTCTTGAATTCGGTGATTAAAATTTTTTCCTTCGGTAAGCTCAACGCACATGATTGAACACTTTAGACAAACATTTGTGAAAACGTTCTGATTAGTTTGTTCACCGGGTTCAAAAGACACGAAAAAAAATGTTCCAGAAAAATGTTTGTGAAATCGAATGTGTTAGATATTTGGAACTCAGTTCATAGTCGGCGTTGAAACCAAACATTTAAGGAACATTTTTTCCAAGTAGCACCAAACAGCGATCACACACATATCACATGACATTCGCATTCGGTGTTTTTGTTCATCAACATAAATGTTCCATCTTCTGCGTTTGGCTTTATGCAGAGATAATCATTTCAATTAGTTGATACGTAAGAACAGACAACTCTGCTTTAATTGAGGTAGAATGTGTAGATGTTGATCATTTTCGGATAGGCCTGAATGAGCAATTTGATTTGTCAGTGCTTAGGAACACAATAATTTTTTATATTTGATTCTTATAGTTTCATTACACCAATGCCATTACACTAGGTTTGTTGGTGAGCTTTTCCTGCAAAATCTAAGCATAGATAAGCTATTTGATTGATCAGAATGATAACTTTGATTGTAATTAATTGAAAATGATGAACATTTACATATAATTTCCTTTTACTGATAAATTGATTAAGTTTGATAATATTGTGACAATTTTCCTTTTAGATAAGAATGACAAGGTTGCTTGTGGGTGTATGTTTTATTGCCTGGCAACCAATGTTTTAATAGTTATAATTTCTTAATATGATATATTTAGCTAGTAATAAGACATTATTTTAAAGTATTTGGTCAAAACTAAAATTGTCATTTTCTTTGGATTTTATGTGTTTATTTGTTTTATGGATGAAAATCTGTCTTTGTTGCAAATATTACATCAATAGATCAAGCCAGTGTGGAAATATAACTGATCGTGTGTGTCCACTGCCAACACAGCAAGCCAAAATTTAAATTAGAATTATTAAAGTCAACTTCAGCTTAAACTTTCACAAAAAAATATTTAATCTTATAGAGCTGCTCCCAAAACTGATCGAAATAGCATATCACATCAATCAAATTTGATATTTTATTTTTACCTAAATGGCAGAGGTTAAGCTTCTTTAATTAATATAAGCATTAGGTTCATGATAGAATGAAGCCTATTGATATTCAGCATATATTAACCTTCCTTTCTGGAATGTACAAGATGCTACAGGTTTTCATGGATTTTTTTTAAAGTTTGATGTGAAGCATTAGGACTGTTAGAGAATGAAGAGGATGAACCCTACTGCTTTTCAGTTGGGAGGATGATTCCTCTTGATTTTCAAATTTGATGTTAAGCAGAAAGGATGAACCCTGTTGATCTTTAGTGTTCTAGGACTTTCTGTTCCAGAGATATATTGCATGTCCAGAAAAACTTGTTAATACAATAGAGATCCGATTCCTTGTCAAATTTTGTCAGCATTCAAGTTTTTTCTTTCTGATAAGGAGATGTTTATGGCTACCTTTTATTTCAAGACATAGCTGCAGTGTGGGTGTATTTCCACAGTTTGCATGACAATCTTATAAAATCTTCTCTCCTATTACAGCTTCAGTTAGTTGAAGAAAGATTTAATAATACCGTAAATGAAATGGGAACAGAACTAGAATTATTAAAACAACATAGAGCTATGTTACTAGAACAACTACAGAAACTAGAAGATAGTAAAACACCTCAGTTGTAAGTAATTACCAAAACTTATTACTCTTGTAACCAATACTGAATATAATGTTCAAAATTTAAGACTGTTTTCCTGCATGTTACAACAACTTTACACTAGCATTACATTAACCTGGCATTACTCATTGATATATTACCATTAATTTTTCAGAAATGAGAAATCTAAAACCAGTACACCATCCAACAGACCAGGTAAATTACTGTTAGGAAATTATTTCAGCATAAAATTATTACTAAAGACTAATGATAAGCTATAATACATCAAGAAATCCATTTGACTGACAGATTGAAGTGAAAAAAATATCTGTTGAACAGAGATTATTTGTTAAAGTAAATATTTGTGAGAAATTTATGGCATCAATTAATTAAAATATCATCCATCTTAATATATTCCTAATTCTAGTGTATAGTCTGCAAAAAAAAATTAGTTAAATTTTTAATTTGTCTTTAATATTTATGTTTGATAAAAGAAGCTTTATGTTCATAGCGGATTCTAGATTGGCTGCAGGTTTAATGGACGATGAAACTGAGGAGGTGATGGATGATCCTTTTATTCCACAGGAACGGGTTTTCAGTAAATATGCTGCCATGTTGTACACATCTAATAACATGGGAAAATCTTTTGAAGAATTTAAAGATGCTAAATATTGTCAGAGTTGTGGAGAGAAGGTATCTCAAAAGTTTTGATTCATCACCATTTTGACATTTTTTCTTAAAGATTGCATTATGTAAGATTTAGATAAAGAACTGACTGCTTCTTGCTATGATAGTTCAAAAATAGATAATGAAAATTAATATATTGAAAGTTTCATTCAAATTACTTTATTCTGAGCAAAGTTATGAGTGTTGGAAGATCTAGTGTTGATTGTTTATTATCGTAGCAACGGTACTGGACAAATGGGACTAAATCGCAATTATCCATTTTTTAGTTAAATTTCTATATGCCCACATTTTCATGTGGAAATATATTGTCGTCGCCCCCTGTCCATTCACATTTTGTTTGCGGAAATTCTACAGGTCATAATTTTTATCTGTTTTTGATGAAATTTAAAAAGTAAGTTTGATGTCTCAAAGATCACGGTTACTTTTGATATTGGCATGTAACGGACAGTAACTTCATGGGCTATGGCCCATGTTTTAGTTTGTGGACAATCTAGAGGTCACAATTTGATTATAGGCTTGTTATGTTAATAAATGTCTAAATAATAGTTTATGTAACATTTGAAGCCAAAAGAAAGACCTGCCATAGGCAGATTTAGCTCTTACATAATGCATCTATAACAAATATCTTTAATTGAAAACATATATTGTTATATTGCACTTTTTATGATATGATCAAGAACAATATCTCTCCCCATTTATCTAACTTCATATAACTGATTCAACTTAATATATTAATGAATAATGATGAGTGTATAGAAAATGTTGGAAGCTTTGTACTGAATGCCTTCAATAAAAGAGGAATACAAATATTGCCTAGTTAGGTGATATGTGGCATTAAATAGTGACAACTACATCAACAGTTAGATTTTCTGTATGTCATAAAATTCTCTTAAGTGACTTACATGTACCATTTAGCTATCAGATATATAATGCATCACAATGTAGCTTCCATACTCATGCTTGTACATGTAGTTGTGAATAAACTGTTATTATTATTATTATTATTAAAGCAAGCTGCTAATCTTAAATTTTAAAACACAGACAAGTGCAGTGTTGTAATACTAAATTATTTTATTGTTCTGTTGCAGACAATAATTTGTCCACATAAATTGAGTGGATCAGAAAAAATTTACATTCTACCCATTAATTGCTCTCATCTGAAAATAACTCGACCAAAAGTTCGAATCAACAAAGAATTTGCCAGGTAAGTTGTTAAATTATGGGATCTGTACCTTGAAAATGTCACCTGATTTATTCCTACATATTAAGATATCTGAACATATGCACAGTTAAGCTGGAGAAAGAAAATTTAACATTACTTTAATATATGTGCAGGTAGACAGTGTCATTACAGGCCCGGTACTGTACAGCGCAGTGGACGTTTAACGCAGGCTGCCCCGAATTCTTTCACTTGATTTGATATTTGTTCCTTATTTCTTTTATTAAAGCCAATTTTTGTCTGTATGGAGCCCTCTTACAATATTTTTGAGAAGTTACAAAATTTACAAAAATTTTAAATTATAGAGTCTGTATTTTCATTAAATTGTTTTATTGCTGTCATTATAGGAAATTTGGCAAACCAGCATCAGCCGTAAAGGTAGGATCTGCTATAAAGGAAAGGGGGTATGATGATGATGATGATGATGATGATGATGATGAGGGTGATGACAGTATTTTAAGTGATGATTCTGATTTATTGAGTGAAACTGATGGACCATTGTCACATTTATCTGGTCATTCACTATCACTGGGTGGAGCAGAATTATATATGGTAAATACATTGTAGATCCCATCTTAAAATTAACTGCTAAACAGAAATTAAAGAAATGGGGTTTAACATCCCAGTTTTCTACTCCGACTGGGCTAATGAAAATGGGCATATGCCATACAGTGTGCTATGACGGAAAGTTTGCATGCACAGCGGCACTAAGGCCTGCTCTTAATTCGAATTAAACTGCCAAGGGTTTTTTACGTGCACACCAATGCACACCAAACGTGCACACTGAACAACTATATGTTGTCCCTTGCCAGTCCCTCCATCCAGGACCTCTTCTGACACACCACACCGGAACTTTCACTATGAACTTTTCTCGCCCAACACCAGTATCAAACACGGGATCTTCAGGTTAGCAAGCTGATTTCTTAAGCCTAGCTTATGTTGCCCTACAACACAACAAAACTGACGGCGACTGGTTTACAATCAAGTGGAACTGATCAGTCGTGCCTACCTGAGCGGCATGAACACTCACGACTGGTGTAAGTCAGACAGCAACCAGTCGCCGTCCAGTCGCTTCCAGTTTTTCGGAGTCGCACATGTTCTACTCCTACGACTGGAGACAACTAGTCATCCCAAGTCGTAAGCGACATGAGCGCACCTAGCTACGACTATCTTGAGTCGGCGAATCGCTGAGGTGGCCAATAAGATTCAGTTATTTATTCACGTGGTACCAAAGGGCGGTAACAAACATGGTCGACGAGTGGAATGAAGCTATTTTGAAGTTGAGGCTCCGATTCTGCAACTGAAGCTGCGCGACATGAGCACTTTACGACTATGATCAACTGGTTGCTTGTGGTTGCGTCCAGTTGTGGATAAATTCAGCCGTAGCAAAATAAACTCTCAGTTACCTTTAGTCACCGTCAGTTTTATCGCATCGTAGGGCTACATAAGCTAGGCTTTATTCACTGAGTCACAGTGGCTCCTAAATGCTATACAATGCATCCGAAATTAAATAGTCCACTTGATAATGTGAGAAAATATAATTGTATTTTATTGGTTAAGGCCCATTCTCACGGTGCGACTTGTAGTAACTACTTGTAGTATCGACCCGAGATGCAGCGTGAGAACACCCTAGTCGTACCAACTTTTACAAGCTCCCAACCAGTTGAAAGCGAGATGAGCGAAATAGAAACTTCCCTATTTCAGTCAACAGATCGTATGAAATTGACCAATCAGAGACGTCAAGTATTAGTACAAACAAGAGTTCTCTCCCTTTGTTGTTGGTAAACATGGACGCGAAGCGCACCCATCAAGAGCCGCTCAGCAAAGCTGAGCAAGTTCACGTAATAGGGAACTGTACGCGCCGGCAGTGGGTCTACGCAGTATCCACTGTCTAACCCAGACGGATTTGGGTTTTCTCTTTTTTTTTGTTCTTATTTATCAAATGTAGGGCAATAATAGCCAGCGTCTCTTCGTCGCTTGATGACGCCATTATGCTAAGACAAGACGAGATTATCGCGAGATTACAAGTCGTATCAACTCATTTATATACGATTTTGTAATCTACATGTAGATACTACATGTGGATACTACAAGTAGTTACTTTAAGTCGCACCGTGAGAACGGGCCTTTAACAGTCCTATCAGAATGGTTCTTTGTTCTAGAAATTCATGTAATTGGTTTGATATTGTATACCAAGACTTTGAGACACAGGAGTAGAAACCAAGAGTTGAAACTTGCTCTAGTGGTCACCTGTTAATAACAATCTCCAGCTCCAAATCAATAGCATTCATTCCCCACAAAACAGCTGCCCCTGACAACCACCCGCAAAACCCACCAACCCCACATGAGAATATCACTGATTTTCATAAGCCTCTCCTATCGTTTGTTGTTTTATATTTTGTACACCTATCTGTTTTTTGTAGACACACACAGCTCAAGATTTATTTGATGACTTTACAGCCCGCACAGATTTAGAGAGAATAATACCCAGAAAATTAACACTGGTAAATAAGCAAATATCTTTTCATTTCAATTATCAAAATTTTTTGAAGAAAAATTTCACATTACTAAAAGTGTTTTACAACCTTGTAGAATATCAGTGGTACGACAACAGAGTGGGTTTATTGGATAAAGAGTTCATGGCCAAAAAACACACAACTGACAAGGGGAAACCCGAGGAACTTTCTGGGCTAATACCTGGATCAACCCCAAAACCTCCTTGTTAAGTGAGCCAGATGCTTACTCACTGAGCCACCTTGACTCCAGATGAGAAAGGAACACAAAAAATACCAATTTGAGGTGTTTATTAATGTGGCTTAAATGCCCGCATGATGAACATTTTCTAATAGGCAAATCTTAAGAAACATTAATGGTTGTTCATTCATTGGAACTGCCGACAGGATAAATATATTTGTTTATAGGTGGGAAAATACATAAACAAGTGCATGGCTTCTAAGGTAGTTTATTCATGCAGCTTAATGCCGGGATGAAGAATGTATTTTACAGGCTTCCACTTCAAAATTTTGACTGTTGAGAAATTTTTATAACCACATTCTTGGTGTGGATACAAATTTATACATTTAAATCAAATAATAAAACCATAGTAAAATGATTATTTATTAATGAAATATCAAGTTTAGATATTTATAGAGCTCCTATTATTTGTTCTGTGGTTAAAGAAAAACAAAAAGCAAAGTAGACAAAGTAAATTGGTACTTCGTGTAATATTACAAAAATAGTCCATAAAATTTATTTGGTTGTGAGTTTAGTTAGATTTTATGCAAAAAAGCATTTCTATAAAAATCAGTCTGAAGTCATTTTTTTTGTTCACACCATACACAGGCAGTAACTCCACCTTGGATTTCACCTATGAAATGAAATGAAATGGTGTTTAACATCTGACTGTTCTACTCCGACTGAGCTACTGAAGACGGACATATGCCATACAGGTGCTATGAGAGAAATTTTGCCCAGACAGTGGTGACTTCACGACTATATTAAGGGTACGGCTGCACAATGTCACTTAAGCCTAAGAGTTTGCTAAAGAATGCAACTAGTAGCTTTATATGAGAGAAATCTGGGATGCTACTTTTCACTATGCAGATTTCCAATTTAAAGTTCATCAAAAAATTTCTATCACATTTCAAATCAATCTGATTAAAACACAAGTCCTGTTTCATTTCGTTTTTTAAAGTTCAAAATTTTGTTTTACTTGTTTTCACAACACTAGGATCTGGAAGAGTTGGGATATAACAGGCATTAGGAGGAATTAGCCAATGAAACGGTCTGTTACGGCTAGTTCTTGGCATGCTCTGCACGGAACTGTGGGTAAACCCCTAGAAACGTCAACACTGATTGATTAATCAATGTCTGACATCATAGGGTCAAAAGCCGCTTGTATGACCACTGACTCGACCTCCCAGTACAACTGGTCAGATCTTCATGTAGTGTAAGCCATCAAAAGTATAAAAAGACAAAACGAAATATAGATCTGTATTTTAATCAGATTGATTTCAAATTTAATTTTAAACTTCTGTCCCCCACTGTATGTTTTTATATATGATTATATTTTCCCAGGAACGAACCGTATCTATTATAGAACAGTTTTTAGCGTATCTTTTGTGGCAGGATGAATATGGTGATGATGATCAGTATTTTTCTATTTTGGTATGTTACCTTACTTTGTTCAAAAATAATTTGCCTGATAGGACAATTATCCCAATTATAAATATATGTAATCATAAAGTAATCAGCATTATATTTGCAAGTCTAATTTTGATTAATGAAGTTATCAAGGCATTATCTATCTTATCTATATAGATGTAAATAATCCTGAATCATTTCATCAGCGTTTGTTTAACTCCTTTAAAATTACTAAATAAATTGTACTGTTGAGTAAGATATTTATAATCAGTGTTTGTTAAACTCCTTGAAAACCACTAAATACATTGTACTTTTTAGTAAGATATTTATCATCAGCATTTGTTTAACTGCTTTAATACCACTAAATAAATTGTACTTTTGAGTAATGGAGACCGGTGTCCCAAGCTGTATTATGCAGTGTCTGGATAAAACCAGAATTTTATTTTATATAAATAATGTGTAGGTGAAATTTACCTTTCGTTATCAAGTACAGCACATGGGCCATTCACTGTATAGACCTCTAAAGGAACGGCAATAGATTATCAGGTCACCCAACGAAACAATTGACCCGAAATCTTAAAAGGGTTACGTGTCCGGATAAGCATTTTTGAAGTTCACGTCCAAACGACTGGATATTTTGAGTTGAAATTTTGATACAAGGTATATACACCATTCCTCCATATGTTGGCGCTTAAATTTCATACGTATTTTTGAGACCGTGTTTAAATCGGGATAGTCCCTTTAAACTCCTTGAAAACCACTAAATACATTGTACGACTATGTAGTTAAATCTTGTCAAATGATCCTTTGATAAAGATTCTTTTTTCTAACACAGGCTTTGGTGTTTTCTGTTATTTTCAGGATACACTGTATCAATTTATGGAAGAAAGATATCTTGTATCAGATATTAAATATATGGCAACCTATGATTTTCTGTCATCTGTGGTAGAATATTCTACAATTAGTAAGGTCTGTCTTTTTGTATCATTCTTTATGAAGAATTGAAAACTTTACAGGGTCATGCCTACAAACAAAACTTCCAAAAAATCAAATTCTAGAGGGGAAGCAGAGGAATATAAAATGGATTCGTTCCACTGTTTGGAACACAATAACTCTACTTCTAATGAAGGTAGATTGTTCAAACTTGGTGTGGATGTTCATTTGGTGAATATCTTGATTAAGTTCTATGATGAGCATTTTCTGCACAGGTTAAGCAAGCAATTGTATTTGTCAGTGCTTTAGAATAATTAATAGTTTCATTACATACCTTGACAATGTTCGATAATGAGCATTTCCTACCCAGATTAAGCAGAGATTGCTTGAAAATGATGTTTGGCTAATCATAAAGAGAAACCTGTGAAAATTCAGAGTTGTGCACCAATTTTACTCAGAATTATTATCCCCGTCAGAAATTTGTAAACACTTTTTTTTTTAGATTGTAACATGCTATGACATTCTTGCCTCCTTCATGGAGTTGCTGTTGAACCTATATCCATTAATTGTCTAGCAAAACTATGTAATAGATAAGTCCATGAAACAAATTGATATTCTTATTCTTTTTCCAGATGCTACAGTTAGTAGGTCATGTATTATGTGGAAACCTAGATGCATCATGTTTACGATATATTCTGTTGTTGAATGATTTTATACATACCATAGATTGGCTACATGTCGATGATTTCAGAACTTTTATATCAATCATCTATCCTTTCCTAGGGGTAAGCATTGTCCACATAAATGCATTGTTGTCTGTCAAATTTTGTCATATATGCAAATTCTTCATTAAAATTTTGTTTAAAATCGTTATATGTATGTGATTTATATTCAGCTACACTACCAGTAATTGTAATGCAAACAATATTTTTCCTTATATAGGAAGATGAGTTTGAGAATCTACAGATGAGTTATACCTCATTCAGTGAGAATCATATATCATCGAAACTAGTTACAGACTTCATGATACATCTTATACTTAAATATAGAGAACCAAGATTCTTAGAGGTAATTATTTTTTGTTAGCATTGTTTTTCTTCTCCTAGAGAATGGGTCAGGTTTTAGGATATGCTGTTGATTGGTCAAATGCTAGAGCTCGTAAGTCTGTTGTCACTAAGCAGGTACCGGTTATGACTTTGACCCAGTGTCTGTATGTATTAAACAAGTCTTGTCTGCCTTTCATGGAGTCAACTGGCGTGGTTTCGATTCCCTGTTTGTACGTGACAAGGAGTAGGGTCGCCTGTCCAATATTGTGGGTTTCCGCCGGGTCCACAGGTTTCCTCCCACTGCTAAAGACCCTATGCGCCAGCGAATTATTTGAAATAAAATTGAACAATATGTTAGTCCCAAAATCACCTTGTTTGTGTCAACTCTGTCTCTCCGTCTCTCTGTCTGTCTCTCTGTCTCTCTGTCTCTCTCTCTCTTGTCTGCCTTCTTGGATGGTTTATTTTTCCTGGGTTTCAGACCACTAATCAGTGAATTATTATATAGGTCACAATTCTATACAATACAGTTAGTGCATATTACAGAGCGACGTTTCGACTAGGCTTCTCTAGTCATAATCAAGCAAAAATGACATGAAAATATAACAAGACAATATATACATGTACACAGCAATACTTGGTTTATGCTGACCAACCAGAGACACCCTTCTAATTATCTTGAAGGGAAGCTAACTTAATTTTAAAAGGTAATGTCATTATAAAAGTTTAATTCTAACAACAACATCCAATACGGCATATAGACCACTTTACCTGAAATTAATGGATAACTTGTTGTGGAGTATTTACAATGATATGATCAGGTTTTAATAATCACAAACCCTGAAAGAAGATGAAATTTGATTAATATTATAAACAAAAAATGTTGACATAATATGCATGTAGATGTAAGTTATTCCATTTAAATACAAAAAATTATTAGACTGCATAAACCATCAATGGTCCCCTGAAGGCCGACTAATTAAATTAGTGAGTAGTATTGAACACCGGATGCTATAGTAATTTAGAAAGGCAGGATTTGCATTATTTATTAAGTGCATTAAATTTCAATAACAACAACCATTTTACAGACAAAATGCCCTGAAAAGCAAAATGACACTTTAGACAATCAATCAATTGAATATTAAAAACATCAATTATTTACATAGAATTACATGATCAGTGGAAATGATTGCTGTGGTCTAGCAGAATTGGGTATTTTCCCAGCTAACCTTGACACATTTCAAAGAATGAATTCCTATTATAAACGTCTTACTAATTCTAGTATAGACAGTTTTCCTAAAAGTATTCTTTTACAGTCTGCCTTCATTACTGATAGCAACCTTATTGCAAACAATAACATTAAATATTCTTGGACAGCATCCATAGCAAAATTATATGAATATTATGATCTCCCTCATAACCCCTCGTCTTCAGCAACTAAACTAAAACTTCAAACTATATTCAACCATCAATTGCAGAACTAACTAAATCAGGAACCAAACTGAAAACGTATGATCTTTTACCAATATGTACACAGGAAATAAAGCAGATACAATACATTATTCCTCTAATGATTCTGTTGCATTGAACAGATGTTGAATCCAAGTGTGTGTAAAACTGACACTAGAATTGTTGCATCTAAGAATATAAATTAGGACTCGTGGGCAAAAGGGATATAGCTAGAAGTACCGTCTTTTCTTTGGCTGTTAGATTGAAATTGTGTATTTTTGGGGCTACAGGGATGTCATGTTAACTGATAGTCATCTCTTTATTTCTATAAAACTACTTTTTTTTTTTATTTCAGAATGAAAATCAGCTGGTACCATATCAGACTCAATCTACAAGTCAGTTATCAGAGAAGGAATTTAAGGAGGCTGTAGATAATATTGTTCCAGTGTGTAATGAGAAATTAAGAAAAAGACTTTATTTTGAGGCTGAAAAGGCAGTTGCTGTGGATGATGTAGAAAATGCTGTTTCTATAATGAGGCTAGCTCATATCCTTTTTACATAAATTTTGTATACTCACACCCTAGACCTATTAAATTCACACTTAAATACACTTGAGTTCCTATATAAATTCCCTTTATTGATCACAAAATTCAGCCCTGCATACCAATACAGTGTATAAGTTCATGTGATCTGTACACTAGCTTCAAATGAAACTATGTAACGTAATGGCATCTGATTTATAATCAGATTGATCAGTAAAATTAACTACTTGGTAGGTATATACTTTTTCAGAAATCAATGTCTCCATTCAAAACATACATTTTATAAAATCTCATGTGTGCCCAAATTTATTATTTATTACCCTAGTTAAGAATGTGCTGAACTAATTATGATATATTTCCAAAGCCACAAACAACAATCAGCATGATATGCTATGTAGAAACAAAATGGGCTACTTCAGTCTTGAAGACTAAAGGGGAATAACTCTTACAAAAGTTTTTGATTTGGTGGTAAACCTCCAAATATTCTTCTGACTTTAAAGTGCACATAAGATGGTCCCGGAAGATTTGAGATACGTGTAGCCAATGGTTACTATATCCACTTTACGGCAAGTTCACGCCAATCTGGTTGAAATTAATTCAGTTATCTTCATTCAAAGTCGTAAAAATAGACCTTCCATAAAAACGGCTTTGCCAATTATCGAAAACACTCTTAATCCCCTCAGACGCCAGTGATGTCACAGTGACCGAATGCATATTCGGAATGTTTATTCCTTAATTACCTATATACAGCCGGCGTGTGTATTCTTTAACGCCTGAAGGATTCCTTAATCTCCCTAATTAAATAAAACAATTGACTACGGAATAATTTGTTTTGTAATTCATTTTAATTTAAGATCCAATTTAGAGTGCCTACAACTTTTAAACTTTGAAGTCCTGAACTCTTAATTAATTTTTTACAATATGGAACTTATTGGACGAACACTTTTAATATGTAAAAAATATACGGGTCCAGTTATGTGGTTTTTACTGCGAGCACTTCGCTTTTCCACATAAAGTGTAGTGTCATTAATATCTGTCATTAATTAATCAATTCGACTATAAAAGTTATACAGGCATGGGTCATAAATTAATTTCAAGTTGGTGTTAGCAGTGAGTGTTAGTGGGATTAAGAATGTTGATTAGGTAATTATCTTTTTTTACGCCGGCCAGATCAAAGACATCACTCTCTGTGGAACGTGTGCGTAATACCTCACGAACGAACTAATGGTAGAATCATACACACACACATTAATTGTATAAAATAAATTAAGTTTTACTAATAAGTTGTTTAAAATTACTATATACCCAATAATTATTGCTCACCGGTGTTTTTGTAATCAAGTAGCCTCGTATTGTTTGTTGATTGGCGTTTAAACAACATTTAATTGATGGATGGATTAACGTTTTTGATACTATTAGGTTATAATGTCTAACATCGGTTATCTTCTTTATAATAAAAGTATTTTACAATTGCATCTCCTATTTTAACTTTCATTATGACAAAGTGAGAAGATGACCCGCCCTCTCTTCCCACGACAACGATTTTCAAGACATTTTTAAAACCGTGTTTTAAAGTGATTTTTAGATATACAAGAACTTTTAATTATTTTAAATCTGTTTTAAAGTGACGTTTAGATATACAAGAACTTTTTATTATTTAGTGTTTTTACCTAACTTCTATTTTTTATTTAAGTAAATAACTTAATCAAACGGCACCAGGAACTCCACGAATGATCCTGTGCAATTTTCGCGGCGAAGTTTAACCTCATTTACTACACCTGTAGTACATGGAACGGTATATGATAATAAGATACCAAGCGTTGATTGGCAGAGAAATGAGTGCGATCTATTGTACATGTTATGCATAGTCATCGGAAAATTCCATATTCACTGTAGTTGTTCTTTATGTATAGAAATGGTTATTATTATTATATATAGCTAATAATGAATATATCGACAAATGACTGGCACCATTTGTATTTCTGTACTTAAGTTTGGGATATCAAGTATTACGGGGTTATCCAAATTACCGGTAAATGCGCTAATTTCTTGAGTCATCTTCATTTGACACGTGGCCTATTTAAACAAAGGCAGCTTAAATTAATCTACGGCATGATACGGCATTTTAAATTCACTCTAAAATATTCCAATCACAAATGTCTAATCTATACCAATGAAAGACGATAATTCGGTGATTATGATTAGGCCAGTCACGTGGTAATTGGACCGTCAATAGACGCTTGCCCAGTTGCCGTGTGTATTGATAGTGCTATATTGTACGTACGGTGAGATATTGTATAGATAATGTATATCCTATGTGTAGTGCCTGTGACGTCACAAGCCAATCAACCGGATTAAGGTCGTAATTGAAAAATCGAAAAGCGTTTTGGCGTGTCAGATACTTAAACGTTAACAGCAGACTTAATTTTAATCAGATTGGTGCGAACTTGCCGTAAAGTTGATATAGTAACCATGGGCTATACATACATGAAATTTAGATTTTTGATCTTAAGTGGTCTTTAATGTTAATTTATTGCCTCTTTGTTCAGATTCAACCTTTTCCCAAATTTCTTGTGGACTGAATGCTCTCCACCAAAGATTGTATGAAGTTGACCATGGAAATTTTGAGATACACATACCATGAATTTATATTGAGCCAACATGCATTTAACATTCAATATAAAATGGCAACTACATATATATATATATCATTATCTATTGATTTACTGCATTCTGAGTATAGATACAGTTGGACATATTATAGATGTTTTGATCACATATTTTGATTATAGCCTGTAAATAAACATTAGATTAGACATTTAAGCAATAAATAAAAAACACTAAAGTGATAAATAATATTGACCCATTCTGTTATCAATGAAAATTAATTCATAGATCTGTATGCACAAATAGACAAAATTATAAACGTTGTAACAAATATCTTCAATAAATATTTAAGATACAATATTATTTTTTGGGGGTTTCATCAACATGTTACCTTATACCTTAACCTAGTTAACAGATCTGTACATATCTAGCCCTCTCTCAAACAACACATGTTATTAAAGAGACTATGATGAGTAAAATACTGGAATCTAGACGGCCATCTAGTACTATTTCTAGTATTGGTAAGTTTCCTCTTCAAGAATATTTTTTTCCAATGTTTTGACTTCATTATCACTACATTTTCCGCAAGTTAAACTCCAGTGTTTGTACACGTTAGCTGTGCTAAAGGCAAATCCCATTTTATGCTAATTATTAGACTTCTAGCTAATATTACCAGTTAACTTACTATTTAGAAAATCTGATATTAACCTTTTGAATGGTCCTCCCCTGTTCCTGGGGTATGACAAAATTTGTCATATGAACAAAGATAGGTCCCCAAAACCTACAGTAATCTAAAAATTTGTTAATCCCTTGATTGATCTTACAAGAATTGATGTCGCCCGCATTATCTTATGGCTTTTCTCCACACTTTTCCCATTTCACTGCTGCTGGAATGTAAATAAACGTCATTTCTATCTCTTCAAGGATACCATTACCCCAATATAGCTTTATTTTAAATGTGAATCAAAATGATGTTACATAATGTAGTTTAAATCATAGATGTTAACTTGACTGTATTATATACTGCATTAAAGAATTAAATGCATTAAAACTGGTTTATGGGTGCATGTACATATTGAAAGTTAACAAACTAAATATTTGTATATTTTATGTAGGTGGTACAAGTAAAGGATTAGACACAGTTATACAGACTAAGATAGAAAAGCCATTAACACTTACTAGTATTAAGTTACTGGGTACACTTGTTAACAGGTAAATTATCAATGATAATATATAATCATATCCTATAATGAATAAATCCTACACAGTCCTGCTTAAATTTGGAAATGTTGATCCGATTAAGTTTTAGAAAGTGCTCTCACTTCAGTCATATCTGCCAGCCATGACTGGATGTCAGTGAAATTGGCTGACTGGAGGACTTATCTGTCAGTCAATTTACATTGGCCTTAGAATTATAAAAAACTTAACCTTAGAGTCTTTTTATACGCCCACATTTTCATGTGGACGTATATTGTCGTCGCCCCTGCCCGTCCGTCCACCATTGTTTGTGAACACTCTACAGGTCATAATTTTTATCCGATTTCAACGAAACTTGAAATATAGGTTTATCTCTCTAAGATCTTGTTTCCTTTCAATATTGGCATGTATCGGACTGTAACTTCATGGATTATGGCCCATGATTGTACGAAAAAATCATGTTTTTAGCTTGTGAACACTGTAGAGGTCACAATTTTTATCCGATTTGGTTTAAACTTGAAATGTATGTTTATAAGATCTTGGTTCCTTTCGATATTCACGTATATCAGACCATAACTTCCTGAATTATGGCCACTGATTGTACGAAAAATCGCGTTTTTAGCTTGTGGACCCCATAGAGGTCACAATTTTTATCCGATTTAAAAAAAACGTTACAATATATCACCGTTACACCCTAAGGTTGGTTGAGTTTGAATTTCGTAAAAATCGGACCGAAACTGATGGACAAAATGGCCACCCCTCATTCGCAAATAGTGTCAAAATATTGTGTTACAGGGTTGTAGACTCTATGGAGGTCACAATTTTCATCTGATTTTCATGAAACTTGAAATGCATATTTATAACCCACAGATCTTGGTTCCTTTCGATATTTGTGCATATCTGACCATTACTTACTGAATCATGACCCTGATTGTACAAAAAATCGCGTTTTTTGGCTTGTGGACCCTATAGAGGTCATAATTTTTATCTGATTTAAAAAAATGTTTTAGTAATTCAACGTTACACCCTAAGGATGGCCGAGTTCGAATTTCGTGAAAATCGGCCCAAAACTGACAGACAAAATGGACGTCCGAGTTCGAATTTTGTGAAAATCGGCCCAAAACTGACAGACAAAATGGCCGCCCTTCGTTCTCAAATAGTGTAAAAATATGGTATATCAGGGTTGTGGACCCTACAGAGGTCACAATTTTTATCCTATTTTGTTGAAACTTGAAATGTAAGTTTATAACACAAAGATCTAGGTTCCTATCGATATTTGCGCAATTTCCTAAATTATGGCTCTTGATTGTAGAAAAATCACTTTCTTTTTAGCTTGTTCTCTATCCATCGGTCGAAAATGTGGGCGTATTCTGCCTGGCAGCTGCTGGTTACATTTAAGGAGGGTTGGATGGTCGAATGTATCACAAGGTCTGTCATTGAGTCAACTTGCGTGGTTTCAGTTCTCCGGTTGTGCGCAACAAGGAGTAATTTCCTGAATTATGGCCCTTGATATTAGGAAAAATCACTTTCTTTTTAGCTTGTTCTCTATCCATCTCTCGAAAATGTGGGCGTATCCTGCCTGGCAGCTGCTGGTTACATTTAAGGGGGGTTGAATGGTTGAATGGTTAGCGCGAGCACGCTGTATCACAAGGTCTGTCATTGAGTCAACTGGCGGGGTTTCAGTTCCCCAGTTGTACGCGACAAGGAGTAGGGGCGCCTGTCTACTCTACCTTCATGGGTTTTCTCCAGGTCTTCCGGTTTCCTCTCCCTGCTAAAGACCCCTACGCACAAGCATATTATTGAAATAAAATTGAACAATATGTTAGTCCCAAAATGGCATAGTTTGTGTCAAGTGGAGTTAAATCCCATCTCTCTCTCTCTCTCTTTTTTTTTCATGTAGTCGATTAGTGCTCTCTTGACCGGTGTGGTTGGGTGGCCGATTGGTTAATGCGTGCGCATTAAATCAGAACGTCTGTCATTGAGTCAAGTGGCATGGTTGCGATTCCCTGCTTGTACGTGACAAGGAGTAGGGTCGCCTGTCTTAGTTTTCTCCAGGTCCCCCAGTTTCCTCCCACTGCTAAAGACCCCTATACGCAAGCGAATCATTGAAATAAAATTGAACCGTGTTAGTCCCAAAATTACCTAATTGATTGATTGACTGCAGAATTTACTTACGATGAAATAAGAATTATAAAGAATTCAACCTTAAACCACAATAAATTTATAGCTTTTACATGTAAAACCATTTAAAAATATATTCAAATATTCGTTTAATAAAAATTGACATATTCTTTGGAACAAATATCTTGCTAATTCAAAGTATACTCAATAGGTCAAATAATGACTGACTATAAAAATTTTGAAGTAGCCATCATTATATAACAATTTGCTATAGACCAATATCAGAATTCCTTTGATTATGTAAACAAAATAGGTTGAAATTGTATCAGATATCAAATTCAAATGATTGCTTCCAGTAATATTTAAGCGCTGTTGATGACAGTTCACAATTATCTGTCCTTATCTGGATAGATTTTATATAACAGTATAATATAGTTGTTGTTGATCTAGATAATGTTTATTGTTCTATAAGGTCATTGTTTTATTGTTTTAATCTACATTATCTTTATTTTATTTCTTTGTAAGCTACACCTCTTTTTTCTGAATTTTATCTTTCAAGCCCTGTAAAGTCTAGTTTCTAGGCTATCTGAATGTATATTGGTTGATAAATAGAGTTATAACTTACAGTTTATTGTGCAGCTATATACATGTATCACCCAATAATGCATTTTAAAGGCAATATCATCTGCTATGATATTTCATGGATATACAGGTCGATGTTGACTGTATTTGTCCTCAATAACTTTTGAAGAAATCAGGGGATGATTAGAATGGCTTGTCGGTCTGTCTGTCCATCACACTTTTTGGGACACAATAACTCTGCTTCTAACTAACTGAACTAGAATGTAGGTGTTTATGAGGTAATTGCCTTGGGTAAGTTAGTATTTTTCGCCAATTGGTTAAACTTTTTAGGGAAAATACTTGGCTTGACATTGAGCTAGAATGTTCAAACTTGGTGTAGGTGTAGATTTGGTGAATGTTTTCATGGAGTTCAATCATGAGAATTTTCTGCTTAGGCTAACATTTGATTGCTCAATGCTTTATTGCTCAATTTGGGGATTGAAATGGGGGGAATCAGTCTTACTATTGGCTTGTTTATTTTGATTTGAAAAGGATATTGATATCCTTTACAGCTCAAACATTAGTTACTAGCGTGATAATAAAATAAAAAACCCAAGTTGTATATTTTTTTTCTTACTTCATGGTTTCAATAGTCTTTATATTCAATTATGAGTAGGCTGAAATGCTGCTGCTTTCGTTTGTTCCTGAAGTTTTACATCCACTTCCACCAAGGGTGATATCGTAGACAATGCTGCTGCTTTGTCATAATGTCCCTCTTATGGCAGACTAATTGGCATATGCCTTTCTTCAGTATCCTAGTTGGGTCAGAAAAGTAGGATGTTCAGTTCAAGCCCATTTCATGCCCTTTTTTCATTCACCTTGGTATGATGTATTTGATGGAAAAACTATCCTACTTAGCATATATTGTTTAGAAACATGCATGAAATTTTGATTCCCATATTGTATGTCTCTGACTATAGTTAATCCCAGTGTTATCAACTATCAAGGCTAATAAAAGATGTTTTAGCCCCTGGTTATATTGCTAAAATTATACATGTATTGTTATTGTTCTATCATTACAGGAGAAATAAACAGCGAAAGAAAAGGTTACAATCACAAGAAGATAGCATGGAGTTAAATATATAATCTTTCATATATTTATAATAAAAAAGACTGTGATAAATAAATTATTATATTAATATAGTATGAATTAGGTTTTCTGTTATATATTACCTTACTTCCTACATAAATATTGCTCTGAATGAAATATAAAATTTAAAAAACTTCTATCAGTGTTGTTAATATAGAAGATAGGTTGCCAGGCAACGAAACATACGCCCACAGCAGCTAAATCGTCCGGGCAGTCAACAAGAGTTGTCGCATATTTTTACTTTTTTCGGTAATGAAACATTTATAATACACTAAAATCTGATTAAGAGCAACAACTCAGAAAACCATGCTAATGTTTTGTATACAAAACTTTTAATACTGTATCATGGATTTAGCTGTTCCAAGTCATAAAAATTCATTGAAAATCAATATACTTGTTCGTCTCAAGATCTTAAACTCTGTGTATCAATCTGAAGTCAATCGGATATTAACTTTGGCCTCTAGAGCGTCCACAAGATTTTTCAAAGTGATCAATGGCCATAACTTTGGCAGTAATTATCAGAAATCTTTGAAAATCAATAGGATTCTTCGCCTCGTGACCTCAAACACTGTGTATAAATTTAAAGTCAATCAGATATTAACTTTAGCCTTTAGAGCATCCTCAAGGTTTTTTGAAGTGATTAAGGGCCATAACTCTGGCAGTAATTATCGAAAATCACTGAAAATGAATAGACTTCTTTGTCTCATGACCTTAAACACTGTGTTTTAATTTAAAGTCAATCGGATATTAACTTTAGACTCTAAGAGCGTCCACAAGATTTTTCAAAGTGATCAAGGGCCATAACTCTGGCAGTAATTATCGTAAATTGCTGAAAATCAATAGGATTTTTCGTCTCATGACCTTAAGCACTGTGTATAAATTTAAAGTCAATAGGATATTAACTTTGGCCTCTAGAGCGTTCACAAGATTTTTTGAAGTGATCAAGAGCCAGAACTCGGGCAGTAATTATCGGAAATCGCTGAAAATCAATAGGTTTCTTTGTCTCATGACCTTAAACACTGTGTATAAATTTAAAGTCAATCGGATATTAACTTTGGCCTCTAGAGCGTCCACAAGATTTTTTGAAGTGATCAAGGGCCATAACTCTGGCAGTTAATATCGGAAATCGCTGAAAATCAATAGGCTTCTTCGTCTCATGACCTTAAACACTGTGTATAAATTTAAAGTCAATCGGATATTAACTTTGGCCTCTAGAGCGTCCACAAGATTTTTTGATGTGATCATGGGCCATAACTCTGGCAGTAATTATCGGAAATCACTGAAAATCAATAGGTTTCTTCGTCTCATGACCTTAAACACTGTATAAATTTAAAGTCAATCGGATATTAACTTTGGCCTCTAGAGCGTCCACAAGATTTTTTGAAGTGATCAAGGGCCATAACTCTGGCAGTAATTATCGGGAATCGCTGAAAATCAATAGGCTTCTTCGTCTCATGGCTTTAAACACTGTGTATAAATTTAAAGTCAATCGGATATTAACTTTAGCCTCCAGAGCGTCCACAAGCAGGGCGACGACAATATACGACCACATTTCAATGTGGGCGTATAAAAAAGAAGCCAAACACCACAAATCAAACTTAAACAAGTGGTTGCTGTGCAAGAGATGGACAGAGAACAACCTACAAAAGCAAAATAGCACTGGAAACTACCCTCAATACACCTGTGGGCGATTGGAAAATTGCGTAGGACATGTCCAGAATATACAGGCGCGGAAGCATCCATGATCTAATGTGTGTGCTTTGGATGAGATTTAAGGTCTTTCACAGTCTTAGACTACTTAAGAGTCGTGTGGCCACCTCTTGGTTTTCTCTCACTGATAAAGACCCTATGCACCAGCGAATTGTAGAAATAAAATAGTACCATACCAAAACTGTTCCCAGACATCAGCATTTCCACATACTCTTCTTTAAATTCCAATTGTCAAGGGTTCTTTTACAAGCACACCAACATTGCTTGCCAGGTCTAAAGCCCTGTATCATTGAGATGGGGGAAACCACGATGGAAAATCCCGCGGAAATTATCAACAAACATCGTGATAAATGGGACAGCACCGTACTTAGCCATCCTGGCTCCTACAATGGTGTTGACAGCAATATACTGCCACATTTAATATGGTGGTATAATCAGTAATTTCATACCTCATATTTATTTTTTATGCTTTAAGAAACATCTTTCCCCCAGGTGTATAATATTCATCACTGTTCAAACAAGTGAATGCTGTATATATCATTATCAATCAACAACAGAATACTACATATATAATTTTATCAACAACTTTATTTGTCGAGACCATAATATAATAAAAAGAAATAGCACACATGAAGAAACTGAGGGTAGGGTATGGGGCTGACATTTCCTAACTCACTTTTCTAGAGAGTTGCAGATGACAGTACCCCAGGTTTAACTTTAACTGGTTATGTCACAGCTCTTCTCTAGCCCAATTTAATTAAATGTCGACTCACTTTCTATTTTCAAATTTGTAAGACATTTTCATCTTAATTCATTGGTTAATTTGTAATAAACATTGTTAATTAGGGACATTTCAAATTGAACCTGGATAGTTTGCTTTGCCATCTGCAACTCTGTATACAGAGTAATCATTATAACTATTAATGATTTCTTGAGTTGTCAGATGTGCTACTAACAGCAGGTATGTCATGCTATCATTTGTTCTATGGATATATCCGTGAAACCATAATGAAATTCAAGTCCCATATCTTGGAGATGATTGATAGAATTCAAATATAAAAAATACAAATTAATGTACATCAACTATGAACAATATTTAAACTATGATGTGTCACAATAACTAACATGTTTAGGTTGTTAACACAAATACAATTTGATTCAGGCAAACCATTAAACCCTCTCTTAAAGCAAAAAATCGTGTCAACCAATACAAACCCAAAATAGATATTACAAGTGAAGCAGCAAAGCGTAAGGGAGCTGAAAAAATCAACATTACTACACATTTTTATAACAGAATGTCCATGCTTCGAACAATTGAGTTAATTCTTAGGATTGCAATAACATATGCTTATTCATCCAGACCCTTTGATAGTCTACTAGTATAATAATCTCTTATATTTATTATTGAGGGTCTGTTGAACAAGAATTGGAATTGTAACCTTCTCAGAAACTCATTATCTTTCATTCATTTAAATAAACACGGAATCAGTTTGGTTGACACTGAACTGGACTAGCAAAGAGGTATTTGCTTAACACAAATCCATTTTAACAATTTTGATTTCCTGGTCCATTATCAATCTTCAACAGTAACAATTCAATTCATGAACCAATTATTTGCATAATAAGAACTTTTATACAATAAGTTTATTAAATGTGCATGCAACATAATTTACTGGTATTTTTCTAAGCTAGTCAAAAGAAATTTCGTTCAAAATTCTATAAAATTCTTTTGAACAAACTACCGGTATGATATAATCCTCTAAGCTATTTCAAGCCATTTCTTTGGTTTTAATGCACCATTATCAGACTTGCCTCAACAAATAATTCTCAATATAACTAGATGATTTAAATTCCAATAGGGAAAAAATATTTAAACAAACACAAAATATAATTTTCACACATTTTCTTATTTTTAGTTTTTTTTACTGTCTTGTTATGCATGAAAGCATTCAATGTGTATACATAAACATGTAAAATGGAATGAATGCTCAACCGTCACCCAGTGAAAACCCGTTTTATGGGGCAACTTCCTTCAAGAGTCCCCCATCACCTTCAGACACAAATCTCTTACGGCCTCTGAAAATGTAGAAATTTAACAATTCTAAATATATAATCACAAGAAAACCAGAATTTCTATGTTCTAGAAATTAGTTTTTATGGAAAAAGATCACTTGTAAATAAATTGTTTTTGTCAAAATTTTCAAGGAGTAATAGTTCCTATCCATTAGTAAACCTGAATTCATTTAAAACCTACCTTTGAGGCAATTCTTTTAGTAATTCAGCTGAAATAACTGATTCATTATAACTGACATTTGCAAATTTTTCCAAAAATGAGTATGCATTTGGTACATCTAAACACAGATCTGGCATAGCTGCATACACACGTTTAAATCCCTGTAAAAACAAAATTTAATTTTTACTGTAACCTCACCAGGAACATCAACTGCCAATAATTTGGTATAAATCATTTCAGATTTCTACTTAAAGATACATCATGTAAGATTTAGATAAAGAGATAGTCATTCTTGCAATAATAGTTCAAAAATTGATAATTCAAAATGAATATATTGAAAATTTCTTTTAAATTACTCTATTGCCAGTGAAGATATTATTAGCCTTTGAAGGCTTGACAAGATGTGTACATTAATTGCAATCACCGTACTGGTCTCGCTTCTCCATTTTGAAATTAAATCAAAATATGGCTGGAACCCTTATCTACTTAATATGGGAGATATCTGATGGCATCAAGAGTTGGTTATGGTCTTGTTATGTTAATAAATGTATAATTAATAGTTTATATAATATTTCAGGCAGAAAGAAAGATCTGCAATACGCAGATTTGTCTCTTGCAAGATTATGTTATAACTTGTGTGTACTTAAATCATGATAAAAGACTATTAGAAGTAAATTAATTTGATCAATGATGTAATGTGTTACTCCAAGTATTCCTAGCTATTTAGTATCAGCAACAGTATCTAAACTACAGGATTAACTCGAGGAACAATTAATCTGAATCTGATTGATGATTTTAAATAACAAGGATCATTATAGACTGAATTTCTACACATATTCTCTATTACCTGAACAAGTTGATCTGGAGTTATTATGACAGACGTGACCAATGATTTGAGCAATTTACACATCCTGACCATAGCCCGATTGGTTGAATTCTCTAACATCATCACTACAGCCTAAATAGAACAAATCAATAGAAATAAATAAATGGGATTCATTAAATTAATGAGAAATATCAAAATTAAGCAGAATAAAAATTTACCACCAACTCTGGCATATTGGACATGGCATTGGAAAATTCAAATTATCTTGGCATATATAGTAAAACTGATATGTTATTTAAAATTTGATATCTTGAGAAAAAAAAAATGCAAGTGATCAACATTTCACACAATTAAAAAAATGATGGATTCTATTAGAAATTAAAGTTTAGAAATTTCAAGATTTGTGAATGTAAGAATTTATCATGTTTACATACATGCCAACCTGAGGAGATTGAAAATCTGAATGCCTTGTATTGAGGGTAGAGCGAGGACCGCAGGTCCAAGTTCGATCGGTGCAAAGCACCGTGAGCGCTGGAGGCGCCGGAGGCTTGGAGGGCGTGGGGTTTGGGCCCCAAGAAAATTTTGAGAAATTAGGACCTATTTGCAGTACCTTGTATTATTGGATAAAAACAGCTGGTGATTTAGGTCCATGCATCTGAGGTTTTTTTTTACCTATTTTTATACGAAAGTGTTTATTATCCTCATATATGCTTTTGGTCGCTCAAGTGTTTTTTAGTTTCAAAATGTTTTTTAATGTCCGTAATACCACCGTAAGCAACACATAAATCACTCCTACAGACTAAACAAAATGCGAATTCGTCGCCTCTACGCGAGGACGTAATGGTTCCTGGAAATTCTTTGCCGTAAGTTTCCCGGTATTTTTGTCTGACATTTGTTTCATTTTGTTTGTCTTGACGACCGACACGGAAGTAGAAGTCGTAAATTATTTATACTGGGTTTTATTTATAATTGTAATTTGTTTTTTTCACACATGGAATACAGCTTGAAAACATTTTTTATCAAGTAAGAAGGAAATATGGCTAAGGAAGAAGTAACAACGTTACTGGCAACTACGGTAAACCTGCCGTGTACTGTACGAGTATGCGAGAATGGCTCCGCGAAGCAAATAATATCCGCCAAGTATGCAAATTAGGCACGGCCTAATCTCGATTAGTCCAGACATATTAGCTTATTTCATTTTATATTAATAATAATCGAGAAAACTGGAGACATGTTTTCGGCTATTTCCGTTGTTTTACCGCAAATTATGCAAATGACGGAAATAACCACATGACATTTTGATCTTGATTAGTTCAGACATAATAGCTTATTCCATTTTATATTAATAATAATGACACATGTTCTCGACTATTTTCGTTGTTTTACCGACTCATACTACGATCACCGACTCATACTACGATCACTCGGCAAACCTCGGGAGAGTCCGGTACCCTATTAGATGCGTAGAATCTGTCGAGGTTTGCCGAATGATACTACGATAAACAGTATCGCCATCAGATTCACAACAAACAGCGAGAATGCCGAGACAGTCGTCAATGTAAAACTAAAACGAGAGGGATTTTATCAATCAAAAAGGTCAGGAATGAAATATAATAAATTTCTTCCAATAAATTTTATAAAACGGAATTATAAAGAGTAAAATCGGAATTCAGAATTAGACTCAGAAAATCGGAATGATTCTGACAAAATCGGAATAGTTGGCATGTATGTGTTTATAAAATGTAATGCTAGTTACAGACTTATTTTATGATCAACAGAGAGAAAGTTTGAATCAAATGAAACAACTTTACCTACTTATCTCCAAAATATGAATAGTTGGATGCATAACGAAGAAATGAAATATATCCAAAATCTGTCTATATGAGTTACCATGGGATTGTTCCTTAAAGTTTATTAGAATATACAAAATAAGAGTACAATTAGTTACCTCATAAACCAGCTCATGATGGAAATGGGGCACTTCTAATTGTTTAAGACATCTTGTAGCTTCGGGAATATCACCCGATGAAAGATATTCTTTTAATAACATCACCATCTAAAAGAAAAAAAAATACTGCTAAGTTCAATCTAAATTTATACTTCAGGGGCAGATAATTGATCAATAATTTACTCACACATGAAGCAATGTATACTGCATCTAAGTATTGCATAATGGGTTTGTCTTTCTAAAATTGACTAAAATTTCTCAGGGCCCATTGCATTGGTCAATTTAAAGGACAATATTGGTGCCAGTCATTATCACATATGTGATAGAGCTGGTTAAACACGTTCCAAATATAATTTTAACACAGTGATCATTGCTACGATAGCTAAGTAATACAGGTTTCCTGAATCGGAAGTGACGAACGCCAAAGGAAAACACGAATCATACCTCTATATAACTGACTGATGTGACGAGTGATAACAGACACATGGCCGAATTTCTGCTCACTAATAATTCCTTCGAAGACCAAAAGTTGTTATATGGGACTGTAAGAGGATACCTGACAATTCAATAAAGTAATTGAATGTCATTAGATAAGAGAACACAAGAAAAATAGAAATAGTCCGTACATTCCCTTGTTTATATTCATTCTTTCCTTTATACAAACATGGTAATGTACTGACTTTTTCTGTTTTTCTGTGTTCTCTATCTAGTGGCAGTCAATTCTTTTTATGAATTGTCAGATATCCTCTCCCAGTCTCACACAACAACTTTTGGTCTAGGAAGGAATTATTAGTGAGCAGAAATTCGGCCGTGTATCTGTTATCACTCGTCACACCAGTCAGTTATATAGAGGTATGACTCATGTTTTCCTTTGGCGTTCGTCACTTCTGGTTCAGGAAACCTGTATTACTCAGCTATTGTAGCACTGATCTGTGATAAAATTATATTTGGAACGTGTTTAATTAGTTCTATCACATATGTGATAATGACTGGCACCAATATTGTCCTTTAAATACTGTAAAACAAGCATATTTTTCAAAACCCAATTTTCAAAAACACAGCAGCAGAAGATTATATTGAGTGTTTTGTTTATAATTAATGATGAATGCTTGATATAGCAGTTAATTGCTAGTGAGAATCTTATCAATCAAAGCTTTTAGTTTATAAATATATTTACATTTTTAATGAGAGATTTAACTGGACGGATACCTCCTCCTGTTCCCCAGATATTATCTAGGCGAACAATACCATGTCTCTGATTTAACAAGACATCAGCTTTCTCTAAAGCTTCCCTAAAAAAAAAAACAGTTAAAAAAGAAATTTACAGTTTAAAACTACAATTAAAATTATTCTTTACTTGATTACTCCCAGTCCCACATGACACAGCTGTACTAAACCCGGTTTTACTGTGTATATTTCATTATCAGGCCAATCAAATAAAAGACTCAAATTTTCTCAATCACTATATATATGTACCTTAAGATATTTTGACTGAGTAATATAATTGTAAAAATATATACTAACCTGCTTTTGGCACATTCTAGTTTTCCTTTATATTTGCTGATGTATTTAGGTGGAAGACAGTCATCAGCAACAGCCCTAGCAATAAACTGGCCCACAACCTAATTATAATTTGAAATGTAAGATATATCATAATGCAATGCATCTGGATCATCTATCAAATAGATGACACATGACACTCATTAATTTATTTTTTCATAAAGCATCGAGCAATGAAATTATTTATTAAACTGCTTGACAAGAGCACAAAATGCTCCTTATCGAACTTAGTCAAGTTTTTGATGTAATGAAACCAAACATCAAGTTCAATCACTCTCACTCAATAAGGATGAGAGTTATCTTGTTCCAAAGCAATGACAAATCAAATTGCTTCCATCTGTTTTGGCTAAGTAGAAAATACTCATCATTGCACTTAGTCCCATACTCCTCGCAGTGTTTAGTTTGATTATACCTAATCCCACTAAACACTGCTTTAGTTTAACGAAGGCAAATTTCTGTTTCAAATTTTGACTGGTCAATGGTCTGATTAACAACCAATAGCTAACTGCGCTACAAAAGCATTACGCTTAAAACAGAGCTCCAAATTGGACTAACATACTTTCACCATTTTTAATACCTTAAATCACTGTTCAAAGTTTTAGGGAAGACCCAGATTAAACGCGGGGCTGCCATGTTGCTGTACTTGGGATACATTTGATTGAACGGGAAAAATTGACACACTCCCTCAAAAGCTCAATTATCAGAAGCCAATCCAGCAATAGCCAGAGAGAGATTTCTCGAGCCATTGCTTCAGGAATATGACTTAGCATTGATATAATGAAACTAACCGCCAAATTCAAGAGCTAAATCTGCCTAATGCAGATCTTTCGTTCGACCTAAATTGGTATATAAATCATTAATTAGACATTAATTTACTACATGCCATTCCCATAATCAACTTTCTAGAACTTCGGATGGTATTGATTCTCAACAGATTTAAATACGATTGGCAGATAATGATTTAATTTAAGAATGGATAACGGTAGAAATGACAATTAAGACTACATCATTCAGCAAACGACGATAACTCCGCTCAGAATGCAGTAATTTGACTGAAATTTTCAACATATTCCCTTTTCATTCTATAGTGAGAACAGTTAGCTCTTCATCTAAATCTTACATAATGCATCTCTAAGAATCAAATTTATTGCGTTCAAGAGTCTTGCCCAATCGAATTGCATATCTCTGCAGAAAAGGCTCATTATCGAACCAAGGCAAGGTATTTGTGTAATAAAACTATACACCCAAGTTTCATCACTCTCTCAATTAAAATCAACAGGGTGTGCACAACTCAGAACAATTAAAATTTCAGGAGTTTTCCCCGAGTTATACACCAGATTCCAAGAGTCCCTGTATAGAATTCTACATCATAATGTATTTTTTTTACTCTTGACGAACATTTTTTCAGGAGTTTCAAGGAGTGTGCGAACCTAGATCATACTTTAACCCCTCTCACTCCGTTACTGTTTTCCAAGGCATCAACAAATCAAATTGCTTAGTGAAGACATTCACCTAACGAACATCTCCACCAAGTTTGAATATTTTACTTCCAATAAAATAATTGCAAAAATCTGTGGTATCTAACAGGCTCATGGAATTTGGTTAAACACCCGATGTTTGAACTCTTATGACAACCAGTCATTAAAAATAGTAAATATTGATAAATGATAAACATACTATTGGAGCATCTGGAGTATCAATAGTCAGATCCGATAAAGAACCAAGTAGATCATCAAACCCAGTAGATACTTCTTCTGATGTTAGAAATTTACCATACAGATCTGATATCAATACAGATGTCATCTCCCTATGTGTAGCTTTTCTGTCCAATGCCATACTAATTACTAATTCTACCATTTTTGTTTTAGAAGGTCCCAAGTTCATACAATCTAATTCAGTCTGTTAATATATAAAAATATCTTAAAATTTAGATATATACAAAATCCAAGTTACATAAACAACATTATACATTTGTAGATACTATGAATGTATTTACAATTAAATCTCTTCTGTAAACACAGACAAAAGGATTAATCTAATTTTCAAGTTGCATAAATATCTGCACTAATTATAACACTATTGAATGTAAAACTAATCTAATTTTCATGTTTTATTAATGCTTAGTAACATGTTTCATAGTCCATCCTATGAACTACATTATATCTTTATTTCTACAGAAATTTTGTTAAAAATATATTATTAATATTTACCAAAACAGCACTAGTATCACCATGTTCAAAATATTCTAAAATAAGTGGTTCAACAATTTTCTCAAAATCTTCTTTAACAATAGGGGGATCAATGGCTTCAACTATAAATTTTTCCTGCAAAAAAGAATGTAACATCTCAATTACCGGTATATCATGTCTATTAAATTTTGAAAGGCAACTATAGTATATTAGATTCAAAATTCTGAATTTGTTAGTGACATGCTATCATCTAATTTCTAACTTCTATTCAAATTAAGACAATGACAATGTATAGTATAATCAAATTTCTTTATGTGTTCATCGTAAATTTTAATTCTATTTCATCTTTTTTTCAATTATAAAATAAGAATAATTTCCCAAAATAACTACTTTTGCATTTAAGTTATGTAATCATACCTGGTATTCACTAATGTGTGATGGACAAACAAACCCATTTTAATAGTCCCGTGATTTCTATTAAAGCACGGTGGAGGGGGGGGGGGGCCAAAATAGTTCTATAAATTTACTGCACCTCATTATCAGAATCGTAGTTAGGGTCATGACTATCATTGCATCTACCATCTTCAAACATTTCAACTCCAGGTTTTCCCCATACACCTTTACCACCAGCACCACCTAAAATAATCATTGAGAATAATAGGAAGGATAACTTTATAGACTTTACAAATTCTTGTTAAGAGTTACAGTCCACATACAGTTTCAAAATCAGTTCAATTTCATCTATCTATACAGCTTGTTAAAGGTGCCAGTAAGCCAAAGCAATTTATAATTTTCTTTTTACTAGGACTACTTTTGCATTTAAGTTTATGTAATCATGCCCAATATTCACTAAGACTTGAGAATTACTAATCATAATCTTGCACTGTAGGCCAGCAATACAAGGAAACAATATGGTAAACATTATGACACATGTAACAATCTTATGACGGATTATTTTACTGTGACTGTGCTATTTACACTGACATTTCATAACAAGGACATACACAATACAAAAGCTAAGTAACAGAAACATGGCATTTCTTAATACATGTATGATACACAAGTACCTAATTAACCACATAGATTGTGTGTGCCTAGAAATTAAATGAAATGGGGTTTAATGTCCTACTGTATTGTTTAGCTCCGACTGGGCTAATGAAGACAGGCATACACCATACAGTGTGCTATGTGGGAAATTTGCCCGGGTAGCGGCACTATAGCCTACTCTTATACCGAATTCCAACTGCCAAGGGATCTTTTACATGCATGTCAATGATTGTATACACGGGACCTCGGTTTTCCGTCCAATCCCAACGACTAGACGGCTGTCCTTGTCAGGCCCTCTGTCCTGCACCACTGACCAGGGTGAAACCGCGTTGGACATCCTGATGAACTTTCTCGGACAATGCAGGGATCGAATAGATTGCTAGACAGTAGCTAATTCAATACATGTAGTTACTTTTTTGATATAAAATTACAGATACAAAGAAACATATCATCATCATATAAAATATGATGAAAACAAAAATGTCAAAATCTAAGCTATCATGGCTGCCGTTGTCAAGTGTTGGTAAATGTTAACAAAAAGGCTTGTTTCTGAATTTTGGATTTATATTAGAATAATAAGTATTTTGAGGGTTTGGTATAGCATTTGTTACCTAACTCGTAACTATAATTTTTGTATAGCAAATTCTTTTCTATGGAGTACCATTTGCAACACATCATGTTCCTATCAAACATTCAGCTGGACATTTCCACATTCAGTTATGGGCTATTAGTGTACAATTTAACAAAGATTAAATACTGTGAAGAGTGCGAATAAATATTGAATAAAATGTATTACAAAGTATTTTAATGTAAAACTTACATGTATATAAATACATATGTCCAATGTTTTATTGTCAGTGTATCTTTATGCTTCCTGGCAAAAAGTTTCGAAGGGTGAATTAAGCCATAAAAATATTAGCAATGTGTATTCATTAAGCCTATAAAAATAGTTGAAAACAAAAGGAGTTTGAAGGAAGTTTTGATGCAGTATTTACTATTTTGCAACTATACCCGAAATATTTCATCCAGATGATGAAAAAATGGAGGATATTTGAAAAAAAAGTTTGATTTTATGGACTTGTTGTGCTAAAACAATGATAGTTTTCAAAATTTAAGTCTTGATGGTTGTAGTGTATATATTTAGACATCTGTGTGAGACTTTGTGACTTCCCATGTTGTGTTGTTTATCCTGTAGCTGTGCAGTGCTGAATTGTATAATTGCTTCATATTTTCAAAAGTTACAAATTCCAAAGACATTATTTTTGATTTTCAACCATTTTTTTTATTGTTCAGTATGATCTCAAGCACATTTGGATACCAAAATACGGAAATACAGGCACTAAGGCTGTTATGAATGATTTTTTGAGACCCCCCACCCCCCTCCAATTCCAGGTGTTGTGACAATTTTTGTCACTTTACCTTGCCCTTAAATCACTCAATATTTTAGTAAACTTAGTGATTGGAGGGGCTACTTGTAGGTTGGTGACTGAGATAGTTAAACATTACATAAGCAAAAAACAGCTTCAACAGGTTAAAATTGCCAAATGATCACTAATTTGTTTATGGTCTAAAAATAGAAAATGACCTTGACCGATTTTTATGTAAACATTGACTGACTTATTAAATAAACGATTGGCTATTCAATTGAGCGTACCAGTGCAATGATACTTTCAATCGGCTTAATTTACTATTATGGCTTTTTAAAATTAAAACCTGATCTAATTATTAAATATATGTGACAACTTTTGAGTTTTACAGTTCTGCATTGCACAAAAACAATACAAATACAATGCCAATGGTGGTGGGAATCCCGTTAGTGCAAGGCAAGCTAGCAGCAGTCACATTGTACATAAAACACCTATTTGACCTAACCGTTAGATAAGTCAATAAAGATAAACTCTGACATTATTTCTCTTGCAACCAAAGAATCATTTAAATAAAGAACCTACAGTAACCTTACATGCAACAATTTGTCTAGTTACCTTTCTTCGGTAGTCCCCGTCCTTTTCCGTTTCGTGACTTCTTGCTGTTTTTCGTGAACGGTTGTGGACAAGTTGGTTTAATTTTATGATGGTTGTCCGTTATTAACACATTATTGTCTGTTGACGGACTTTTTCGCAAGTTTAGCCTCTTTGATTTTTTAAAACTCCTAACATCTTTAGTGTTGCTATCATTCGATGAATCTTCGCTGTTGTCTATATTTCCATTCACGTCATTGACAATAATATCGCCATCTTGGACGCCATCATCGTCTGGGGTTATTTTTTTACCATTTTTCAAAGACATACTGTCTTCGTTAAGAGTGGTTTCGTGTGATATGCTTTGAAATATATGTTCTCCACTTGCAATTACCGATGCCAGGAAAATCTCTAGTTATGTCACAATCTAGCGTCTTTGGAATCTGGATATAAACTTCGTTATCAAAAGTGTTTACGTCCCTTCGCCTGGCTTCTTTCTTCTGCACTGTTTGGCTTCGATTGGCTGATTCAGCACGGCCTATCCCGGGATTTTAGAGCCTTGATTTACCAGACGTTAATATCTGCAATAAAATTCAATCTGTATTAATAGACTGGATAATCACGTTTGTTGTTTCAGAACAACACGACTGAGCTGTTGCTGACGACTGTTTTATATTTGCCCCACATTGTCAATTATTAGGAGAATAAAGTTTTACATCAAACCTGTCAAATCGCTGACTTACATTTGATTTATATTTAATACGAAACAAAACAAACATGTACCTTCAGGGTTTGTAAGGTAACAAAAATTTGAGATTGAAAAGTAATCTAGTTACTTAAGGTTAAAGCAATGGACCTTAATTATTATAAATATAATATAAAATTATAGCCCCCCCCCCCCCTATTTAAGGTCCATGCTTAAAGTTAATAATCCAATGTCAAGCCTATATTAGTTGAAGAAATGGGTACGGTATAGATAGCTTACACTGAAGTTAATGTGAATGAAATGTTGTCAGTCCCAACAGACCGAAGTACAGTGCATGGGCAAGGAGCTGGCTCACTCTATAGACAGTAATTACCATGCAGGATCGGGGCTCGGGATTCGATCCTGTTCTGGTGTTGTCCGAGAATTTCGGAGAAAGATCTCCGGGATTTTCTGGAGGTTTCGCCTTGCCAGCTGTGCTTAGGACGAAGGGCCTGACATTACAAGGACAGTGCCTAGTCATATACGGGTGCTACAAACAACCGAGATCCCTTTGCCTTGTGTACACTTCATGGCGTTCACGTAAAATAACCATTACACGGGTTAACTATAATAGGCTATTGCAAACAGATGATTTATGTCTAGCTACATTTTTATGGAAACTTGTTGTCGCCATTTTATACTCTCTACTTCTCGAATAAATAATTTTCTACATATATATATGTTACAGTCAATTTGTGAAATCAGTCATTTCATGTAATGACTAAACGAATCAGTCATTTCGCGAAGAGCCTGTGAACACAAGGCAATACGTGTAATGACTGAAAATTCCAGACATTACACGAAATGACTAAACATCATGGGCAGACATTACGCGAAATGACTGAAGGACTGTCAAACCACAAAAAGTCACTGTATAACATTTATTGACTTCACATCCAACGTTAAATCATACATTGCAGAATATTAATTATAACGAAATATTAATTCTTTTAAACAAAATATTAATTTACTGAAACGAAATATTAATTCGTTGAAATGAAATATTAATTTCATCACAAAAGTCTTACTGTCAAATTACTTTTTAAAAAAAAATCCCGACTAGGTTCATCACTCAAGTCACTTGTTTTTGCAGAACAGGCTGCTATGACAGCGGCTGGAGCATTTGATTTTCATTTTGAAGCATTTGCATCTATTCGTCCCGCATCTCTTGGAACCTGCACAATTGCACCTGTCCACCGCAGCTGGATTCTTTATGTACAGCCTGGCGAACTGTTACCGTCTTTGTAAGGTCTACATCAGATTCTGTAAGTAACTGTTGGGGACACAAATCAAACTGATTGCGTGAAAACTTCCCTTTTAGAATTCCTGCTTTCACACAAATGGTGTACATGTTATTCTCATCGCGGTCGATAATTATTCCCAGAATATTACGTGGATCACCACGACCTCTATCCACTAGAGGGATAGGTACAGCTGCGTTGTCTCCCACCTGGCCAGTGGCTAGTTCCACTCGACTCCTCTTGACCATACGCTGAGCTAATTGTATCATCTGAGCAGAGCTGGCACCATTTGGGCCACACCAGCTTCAGTTCAGAGATAACCTCAGCTGTAAATTCACTTCCATTGTCGCTCTGGAGGATCGATGGGGCACCGAGAAGAAGAAAAATATCCAGTAAATGATGGGCAACCTCAGCAGCACGTTTTGAGGTTAATGCTCGTAGAATAACAAATTTGGTCAAGTGGTCTTGATAGACCATGATCCACTTGAATGAATTTTGGGCCATGGACTGCATATCAATCAGATCAATTTGTGCACGCGAGGCGAATTCTTTTGTTAGAATGGGACGTACCACCACACCCTTGGTCCTTGGGCGCTTGCGTTTCTTCTGACATTCCTGGCAGTAGGACTTGAAAATTTCAAGAGCCTCCCGAGTGATGTTAGCATACTTTTTGTTGACCTCTTTGGCCATTCGATCACGTCCACCATGGCCTGTGGCTATGTGAGCTCGCTTGACCACATCATATGTGTCTTCTATACTGACATAATATACTGGATCCTCATCTTGGGTGGCACGCTTTTTGATGAGTTTCTCAACATCACCGCACTGCAGTATCTCAAACCTGAAAAAATACGATACATTTTTAAAACTATATTTTAAAGATACTTAAACCATGCATATATGTAATGTTTGAAAAATACACCCCAGACCCACCCTATATTCAAAAAACGCTGACAGAACAAAAACATGTATAACTAGATCGGCCAGGCAGATATGAAAGCTTTCATATTTACGGCCACTTCCTGTGACATGTCATGGGTTATATAAAAAATAATATGAAAAATAAAAGGAAATGACTGACACTGGTATTGCTATAATATGATTGACTTCCAGTTCCAGAAAAATCGATCAAGCCGTTTAAAATCGAGACGAATCAGAAAATGAAATGAAAATGGCGAGAAAATATTGAAAAAAGAAATGATATAATTTTGAATGGAACTTATATTTTTGGAATCGGATTGACCTCAGCTGTTCGAATATTTAGGTCAAATTTGTAAATTTCGAAAATTAAAGAAATAAATTGTCTTGTAAACAACTTTGTTGTACTTACTTTGATAGTAAGTAGTATCCATGCCTGTTCTTTGTTCCACCAGCTCCTGCTGCTGTTTTTATATCCTCTATCATTGTGAAATACGCCTCCTTTGGAATTAAAATTCTCTTGCAAACTTCATATTTCTTGTAAAGCTCTGCTTTAAACCGATTTTCGTAAGATTCTGCCATGAGGATATCAAGTAAATTGTTTCAATGGAATTTAGTAATTGAACTGGGATATACTGGTCACAATTCTATGGAATACTATTACTGAGTGATGTTTCGACTAGGCTTCTCTAATCATTATAAAGCAATGATAAAATATAAATTATAACAAGACAATATATCCATGTAAACAACAATACGTGGTTAATGCTGACCAACCAGAGACACCCTTCTAATTACCTTAAAGGAAACCCAACTTAATTAAAGTAATGTAATTATTGAGAGTGATCAAGGTTGATAAGGGTAATGCTAATGACAACATCCAATATGCCATAGACCACTCTTTCTGAAATTAAACACAATGATTAATGGATAACTTGTTTTGAAGTATTGACAATGATTTTATCGAGTTTTTAGATACACAACACCCTGAAAGAAGATTAAATTTAATTATTATTGTCAGTGAAAATAATTGTTGATACATGCATAAAGAATTAACATAATTTCACTTAAATACAAAGACCATTAGAACAAAGATTTTACCAATCATTAATGGTCCCCTAGAGGCCGGGTAATGAAATCAGTGAGTAGTATTTTCTCCGGGTGCTATAGTGATTCCTTCAGATTGAAATCACATCATTCATCTGTTAAAACGGCAATGGGACCATCCATTAAACTAAAAATGGGTTATTGGAAGGGCAGGATTTAAGCCTATAAGTTCATTAAATTCCAATAAAAACAACCATTCTACAGACCTAATGCCAAGAAAAGCGAAATAAAAACTCAAAACCAATATTAAATGGGGTTCATTAAAGGTTATGTTGTAATTTTACGTCTTACACATATTGCCTGATTTGCAAAATCTACAATCAGGCATTATGTGTAAAAAAAAGGGTAGGAATTTTAGTCATTTCGAGTAATGTCTGGAATTTTCAGTCATTACACGTATTGCCTTGTGCTCACAGGCTCTTCGCGAAATGACTGATTCGTTTAGTCATTACGCGAAATAACTGATTACACAGATTGACTGTAACATATATACACGTGTCCACAGCACACCATTAATTTCCAGATTGATTCTATATGCCTAATTTTATTTCTCTCTAACTGCGTACTCTACCTCTAGAATAGATCCCTCCCCTATATATAATGACCACCATATATCTCAACAATTTAGCCTATACTGAAGGGCGGAGGGGTCAATTTGTTGGTTCCGGCCCTAATCCAGAAACCACCATCTGATCGCGACCCCTCGAAGAATAATTAAGTTACCATTATTTGCAAATCAAAATATTCTTATGAGAGACTGAGGAAGATCGTGAGCGTAAAAGAGGAAAGACGGTTGGCAGTGTGGCAAGAGATAGATCAGATATGCTTTTCGTGAAAATGTAGCATTTTTTTCAATAGACCGGAGGGGGGGGGGGCATCAAATGGGCACAAAACCAGACCTAACTTTTCATTTGTAAAATTTTCCGTAGAATACGTTGCCGAGTGGTAATCATTAATCAGTCCGCTGTTGCCGGGGCGTTTTCGAGATATTCGGAGTCAAAGGTCAAAAGAGGTCATTTTCACTGAAGGTGAAGGCGCAGCCATTCTCGTATCATGGAAACATGCTGAAAATGGTCGAAAGTAATCACGCTTCAATAAAAATGTAAATGCTATAAGTAATAATAAGGACATTTAAAATTTATCTTTAGGTGTTCTTAGCACCGTACGTTTACTTTGGAAATGAAATGAAATGAGGTTTAACGTGTCCTACTATTCTGCTCCTAAACTGAAGACGTGCATACGCCATACAGTGTGCTATGAGGAAATTTTGCCCGGACAGCGGCACAATGGCCTACTCTTATATCGAATTCCAACTACGAAGGGATCTTGTATACCTGCACGCCAATGTATACACTATACACTCGGTTTTTCGTCCCACCCGAATGACTAGACAGCTGTCCTTGTCAGGCCCTCCGTTCTGCACCGCTGACAAGGGGAAACTTTCTCGGCCAATGTAGGCATCGAACACGCGACCTTCAGGCTAGCGAGCCAGCGTGGCTCCCCGTTTACTTTGGAA